ATTCAGCGACGGAACACATAGCTGCTTGTTACAACCATTTATCAATACACCCGAACAAATTAAAAAATGAAACACTATACTTGATAAAAAATAATTTTCTGTACACCAAAATGTACTTTTAGCTTTCTTTTAATAACCAGAGTATATATTTCTCAATGCGTTTTTAAATTCTAGGATGATGCAATAACGATCATATACTATATTTTTCATGCAAACTAGTAGACATCATGTTTATGTTATATGCTCAAAAGTTTGAGAGGTTATGCTGCTGTCACATGCTGTTTACAAATGATATGACGTCAAATCACATTAATATTTGGCCAAACACGGCGTTTTCTCTTGTCTAAGAAAAACATATTTTTTAATAATGTTTGACGATCATTAAAGTCTCAAAAAATATAGTATATTTTTTTTATCTAATAGAACAAATATCAGCTATTTAACTAGCCTATTCTAAACGTTTTGCTCTCAGGAAACATTGGTACCATTACAGGTAGACCGTCGTGGGACCATGTGGGTACTAGATGGTCACAGAGCAAACAATGCTGTTAATGGAATACGATGTCCACCAAAACTGGTTCTTCTCGACTTGAACAGAAACGGAGCTGCGGTGCGTTCATACACCTTTCCCAACGAACTTTGCTTGACAGATGGTGGATTCCTGAACGATGTCGTCATAGATGAAACAGGCGGAACTTTTGCTTACATCACCGACAATTCTGTCATAGACCCTGGAGTGATAGTATACTCTTACAGAGAAAACAGAGCGTGGAAGCTTAGAGATGGTTCTATGTTCCCTGATGTCAGTGTTGCTGGATACATCGTCGATGGGTTCCAGATGGACTTCCTAGGGACAGTGAATGGAATAGCCTTGTCACCTTACATCGAATCTAGACCAAGGACACTATTTTACTCTTCTCTAACTGGTACTGGAGTTTTTGCTCTAAGTACAGACATCTTGAAAAATGAAAAACTTTCCATTGGTGACAGTTGGAGGGAATATGTTAGATTGATGGGAGAGAAAGAAGGTCCGTCAGATGGTATGTTCATGGATAACAAAGGAAACCTATATTATGGCATATTATCGCAATATAGTGTGGGAAAATGGAACATGTTTGAACATTTTGATACGTCTGAGGTGATATATGAGAATAGGGAAACTTTAATATGGCCAGACGGGTTTACTATGGATTCACAAGGAAACCTGTACTTAGTTTCTAATCAGGCTTTCAGATTTTTTGTTAGTAACGACTCGTTGCAGTTTACTCCGGATTTGGTGAAATTTAGAATCAATGTGTTGCATACTGGTAGAAAAAGTTATATGTACGATTTGGATGACAGTTAGAGAAAATTGCTGATGAGCATTGCTCATAATTTAAATTATATCCTACATGCTAACAATAATTTATGTTATGAATGTAATTATGTAATTTGATCAATTTAATATAGTTGTCTACTTGAAACTACATTTCATTCTCTTCGTATAAAGCTCATTCGAGTGGCGTGAGTAGTGTAGAGTATAAGTAATTCGATTTGCATTAGTGTGAAGGAGACTGATTTGGGAAAAAGAAATGCAATATTCAAGATAATGCAATTAATATATTTTCTTCAAAAGTTTTATAGAATAACAAATTAATTTCGATGTTTCCCCACTTTATATACTCCACAAGAAGTAAGGAGTTAATTTGAAAATTTATATCACCTTAAAATGACCTTGAAGGTCAAGGTCAGCTTCACTGGCAAGGCTATACGTGAACTTGAAATTGTCCATAATTTGCATTCCAGGAATTAAAAATAAATGTTTACCGTTTAAAATTCATTTGATCTTAAAATGACCTTGATGATCAAAGTCGTGGACATACTTGAGCATAAAGATTCTTGCTATTTTTATTTTCAGTGACGAAACTATGCATTTCCATGTGTGAGAACTGTATTGACCACCAAATAAGCTTGAAGGCTATAGTCAAGGTTACGTTCAAGGTCACCATCAGATGAATCTCTTTAAATCTTACAACCTTATTACACAGCATTTTTCTTTATGAAACGTTTTTTTTCATTTAAGAAAGATGTCTTGACCTTGAAGTTCATTGTCAAAGTCACGTTCAAGACCATCAATAGATAAATCTTTTCAAACCTTACAATTTTGTTTCATGACATTTTTCTCTAGAAAACGTATTTTTCGATACATTTTGACCGATCCACGCTTCTTGAACACCCTGTATATTCTAGCAGATAAAACCATGCTTATAACCTTTCCCGGGTTTCAATTAGTATGTGGTATCGTGTTTCAGACGTGATGTTGACAGACTGTACAGACATTCACATTTATGTATGTACATAGATAAAACAAGAAAGTTCAAAGGTGGTTCTATAACCCCAGGTTTATGATTACACTTTATTTCTTCATTAAACTAAAATGTGCATAGAATGATTAGCCATCGTATAAAAAGGTTGTTAAACCCTCTACTCGGAGAAAGTGACGTAAAAGGAAGCCTACATCTGTTTAACGTCGCATGTCCCATTTTTCCAACAGCCTGTATGCAGGATTATTCTTAATACTTTTCATCTGATTATTCCATGGTGTGTATAGATTTGACTGAAAAACAATGTTATCAGTTTGTTTTTTGTCAAAAAATGCATTTTTCTGCATTTTTCCTTCGATCGTAACTTGTTAACAAATAATAGTGCAGCTCTTAATTTGTTTGTGAATATTCCAGTTTTAAGGAAGAATTGAGCAGGACATTACTTTTTTCTTACCACTTTCTACAGGGTGGGCCAAGAATTCGTTAACATTCAAATCTAATACACCACGCAAACAGATAGCGCGCGAAGCGCGTGGAGGGGGCTAGTCGCTAGCTCGTTTCTCGGAAATTCAGTCGCCATGGATCGCTTCACGGGGCCGCAACGCGCTTACTGTGTAAAACCATTTTATTTAAACAACAGTTCGCTCATTACTGTGAGACGCTTATTTCGCGTTGAATACAATTTACACGACTAAGTCAGTGACCGAGTGCTCCTTTGATAAAGAAATGGGTGAAGAAGTTCGAAGAGACGGGATCTACACTGAATGTGAAGCAAATCGGCGGCCCACGGACTGCTCGGAGCGAAGAGAACGTGCATCAAGTTTCCGCTTCTGTTCAACGTGATCCAGATTTATCGACGCGCAAACGTTCGGCTGAATATGATTATCCCGCAGACCATTACGCCGTATTTTGAGATTAGATTTGAAATTACATCCATATAAGATCCACATAGTGCAGGAACTAAAACCTAATGATTTAAATTTGCGTAAGTCGTATGCGGAAACGATGTTAGCTCGATTCAGTAATTTTGATAATCTCTTATTTTCTGACGAAGCCCATTTGCACCTCAACGGACATGTGAACAAACAGAATTGCAGACTTTACTCTCCAAAAGTAACTGTATGGGCTGCAATTTCAGCAAAAGGAATCGTTGGCCCCTACTCCTTTGAAGATTCTCGCGGCCATTCAGTTACTGTTAATTCTGCTGAGTATGTGAAAATGTTACGGGAGTTTTTGGCACCGATGCTACTCCAATTTACTGGCTATAATCGTAACACATGGTTTCGACAAGAAGATGGAGCCACGTGTCACACATCCAACGAGTCCCTGCCGGTGGTCAAAGAAATATTTCCGGAAAAGCTCATTTCCAGACGAGGCGACATCCCATGGCCACCCCGAAGTCCATTTCTATCCCCACCAGACTTTTTTTATGGGGTTATTTAAAGAGTCGTGTCTACATCAATAAACCAAGTACACTCCGTCAACTAAAAGAAAACATCAACGAAGAGATGATCTCGCAATCTTTATGCCGACGAGTATTCGAAAACTTCGGTACACGTTCAGAAGAGTGCAAAAATCGTAACGGTAGTCATTTAGATGATATAATTTTCAAGAAATGAATTCCAACTAATTAGCTTTCTTGTGAATAAACAATTTTTAAAATATTCATGGCCCACCCTGTATTTTCATTAAATTTTCGCAAAAACTACATTTGCTGCAAACTGAGGTCTCAGGGAAATCAAGGATAAGAATAAAAGTGATCACCCGCTCAAGTCTACCAGAGAAGTGGAATTTTGAGGTACAATTTCAGGGATGTACAAATATTCTGAGTGACAAAAAAAGGTAAACACCTACGTATGTTTATCCGTTTTTAATAATTTTTGACATATATGTTCAGTGTCCCATACTAGTAAAATGATTGAATTTTCAGTTTGATTCGTCAACTGACTGCAGAAGCTGGATCCTTCCATGATCTTCAAACCACTGATTAGCGATGACTCGACTACTACTGAATCTGTCTCTCAGATCCAGAAGTCTTAACCGACAGTCTGGTCGCTCTGTAGTTCCTCTGGGACGTCCAGATCCGCTCGCTCGCTGTCCTCGGCCTTTTTGAGTGCACGCTCGTTCACACTGCAGTATATTTGTTAGCAAGTTGCAAATGAAGAGGAAAAGCACAATAGAATGCACACAAAATTTTTTACAAAAAATTGATACCGTTGTTTTGCACATCATGAAATAATCTGATGAAAAGAATTTAGAATACTTCTCCAAACAGGCAATTTGAAAAAGGGACATGTGGCCTTAATAAAAAAATAACGAAATATACTTACTACCTATACGTATTGCTTCTGGAATCTAAAATACATCCCAATGTTCATCTGATCATTACTTTTTGTATAAAAACAAAAATTACAAACAGATGTGATGGCTAATTTATGGCATCCGCAGACCAGGGTCACTAAAAAATTGTATCATGCAGGGTGGTTAAATATGTACAATAGAAGGCTTGTTCATATCACAGAATAATTATTGCAAACAACCGATATATCTCTATAATAAAATGAGATTTTGCAGGGATGTACACATTTTAAATGTTAGATTTATGGGTCTATTGTCTCTTACAAAATGTTAACATGAATTTTTTAAGCAAGTTTTACCTATCAGATTCATAATGTGTACAATGGTTTCCCAAGACGAATTAAAAAATATAATATTTTAGAATTTTAGTATTTAGGTAATGATAGCATAGAATGTAATATGATTTAAAGGGTTAAAAGAAGGAACAGATGTGCATTACGTTAGTGATGTACTGCTGAATGTTGCCCTTCGCCAAAAAACCTCTGCTTTTTTAAGTTGTAAGTTTTATTTGTTCTGTTGTTTGGCGAGTAAAGACGTTTATCATTATTATTACTATTGAGTACCTTGAGAGCATCTCGATCTGGTAAATGTAATGCTTCCCCTCTGTAACATCTACCATCATAACTTGTGAAAGTATGCAATGTGTTTGAAACAACCAGTTTTGAATGGGCGGCCTAGTAGGTGAACCAAATACATTCACTCGTATTTGTTGACAAGTCAATGATTAAAAATGAGTTCGCCGTCTCGATTCGTATTGGTCCTAGTCAATCTTTCTCTGCAGTTTATTCTGGCTATTGGGATAAATAATGGAAGTTACAACCATTACAAAGGCTTTGACACAGCATGGTCTTGGAGTTACGTGAACTACACTTGGCCTTCAGCAGAAGCTTACTGGACTGCATTGGCAACACTAAGGTAAGTAACTAATTTCCATGATCTGCTGTACTGCCTCTCCCATTTCTAGTGTATAGTTTATACACATAAGCAATAACGACCAAAAGCTTAGTTATGTCTCTAGAAGGGAATGCCAAGACCAAGACTTGCCTGGTGTTCCTCTTGGTCTTGCAACATAACAGATGTTTTGGTCTTGGTCTTGCAATACTAGCTTAGTCTTGGTCTTGCAAAATTATTCAAATCTGAATAGTGACTGAAGTGATATAGAATGTGAAGAGTTAGCAGTTTTTTTTTGTTTACATTTTTTGTTATAATAATATTGATGGGATTTGTTGATAATCACTTCTGACTTGTAAACTTAAATACATACCATAAAGCTCGAGTTTTGTAATTTAGAATAAAAGTTTTGGTATATATTAATGTAACAATGTCTTATTATGTCCCATAATCAATTGAGCATACACTAATAAGTGACAGGTATAAATAAAGCATTTTAACCTAACATGCTTATAAGATATTGCTTGTCGTCGTTTTATATGTTGTAATTTTTTTTAATGATTGCAAAATACGTATAATAATTTAAAAAACACAAATAATGTAAAATTTTGTATATTTTATCTTTTTGAGTGAAAGTAATCTTATATTTCTTTAATATGCCATAGCAATTTTGAGTATAAAAGGTACTACTTTTATTTCAAGAAAGTAAACCATTTTCTATCGGTCGAGGTGATAGTATAACAATAATCATATAAAAATATGTTCAAATTTAGAAAAATGTGTGCGGGAAACTTGGTGCAAACCGATCCTAGATATTTATAACTTTAATTTTTCAACTGTATAGTTAATATCTCCAAGAAAGTGCCACAATATTCGCTTGATCTTATAAATCTTAACTTTTTAGAAGCATTCAACAAATTTAATTCAGAAATTTTTGGCCAAGTGGATTTTACAAGACCGCCAGAGTTGCAACACAGTCTTGGTATTGGTCTTGGTCTTGCGGAACATGTACAGTACATAGACCATCAAGCAAAATAAAAACCTACTATTGGTTCCTTGGTCTATTTTTGTTCTCTTGTACCTCACTCAGCATCATTCGCCTCACAATTGGTTGAATATCAATCCATTTTCCCTCGCGTATATGGGTGGCAAAATTGTGAGCAGTGAACTTCTCGCCGAGCATCTGTTCCAGCTCTGTCTGGTAGTCAACCCACCTACCACATTGGAGTAGGTGATTAGAAGTATCCTCCTGTTCATTGCAATATACGCAATTCGCGTACTCTCTCTTCCCTACCCTCTTCAGGTAGCTGTCAAAACAGCCGTGTCCTGTGAAAAACTGTGCACCACTCCCTTGTCAATTCAAGTTTTAATAACTGGAATCAGCCTTCCGATTCATACACCAAGGCTTGTTTTATCCCAACTCTCTTGCCGTCTGTCAAAAGGCGCCTCTCTTTTGTCGCTTGTAGCTGCGATGCCCTTTTCATACAGCGCACATCTCTCCGCAGCCACCAAATCAACTGGTGGGATACCAACTACCACCAGGAGTGGATCGGTCAACCCCGTTCCGTAAGCGGCTATCACGCGCAGCACTACTTATCGTTGGCTTCTCGATATTAGCCGTCTATACTTATTTTTTCTCAAGACCTTGTTATACAGAGTGATTCACAAGTCGTGGCCGAAAATGAATCATACACAGGACCGCATTTTAAGGGGGGTCTTCTATGTCACAATTTCTAATTGTTTGTTCCAAAACACCTGTCTTCCGACCATCATTGCTAGTTTACTGAGCAATATACAGGGTTCGTTCAAAGGGCATTTTATAGTGAAATACACGAGTTCACCTTGCCGACATGAATCACAAATCATTCCAAAAGATAATTGTTATTTTTATGCGAAAAACAAAGGGGATAAACAATTAGATATTCTCAAAAACTACTTGACCAATCGACTCCAATTTTGTTATCGTTATTTAGAAGTATGAAGCCTACGAATTTAAAAAATTTCAAGTATCTGCGTGAAATTATCGTCGCATCACCAACAAGTGCTAAAACCTGCATCTTGCCTCGGTTTTTCACGGCCATAACTTTTTTGCTATTAGTCGGATCTTGTAGGTCTCATAAATACCTAGAAATCTTATTCCTGCCAACACTTTCGATTGAATCCCAAAAAACATGTTTTTCTCATGTTTTGTTGTCGAATAAAAGTTTTCCCACAAAAATTGGTGCACCCATTTTATGCGTCCATGGTTTAAATAGACCCTTAAACATTATATCAATAAAACCAGACTTTACAATTATTTCGCAAACCAGGGGTATTTTCGTCTAATATGATTAGACTATTAATACAAAAATGCCTCACTTGTATCCGTGACTGATGGCTGCTTTCAACATTTTTTTTAATTAACAAATAAGTAGGCGTCCGATTCCGAGCACTTCCTCTTAATGAATCGATACCATCTTTTGGAATAAATATCTTTATTTAATAGGAATAATTTCTTTTTTGTATCTCAAGAAGAATGGTTGGGGTCCCTGATAAGCCTTGTGTAGATAGATTTAACAGATCCGCTGCATTTTCTGTGAAGCCATTGTTATAGTGAAAGAGAGCTTTGTAATGACATTTTCAACTACACGTTATGTTATGCACCTCCACTGCGATATATGTTATCATTTCCGTATAAATGTTTTTAACTTTCTCTGTGACGTTTGCTGCTGCCTTATATTTACTTCAATTCGCATTAGGCGGACACATAAAAATAGTGTATTTAATCTCAAGAAGAAATCATTGAGTGTATTAGTCCAGTCTCAGTTGACAAAGTTTTATGAAAGCCATACAAATACAATCTGGGATCAAATTCAATTTTTGTTGTTGTTTTTTTTTTCGGCGGGACGCAATAATTACTCAAATTGGTCTAGAGGAAGCAAACGCGTGAAATTATATTACCTAGAATACTTTCCAGTTTATGTTAGTAACCAAAAATGTCATTGTTTTACAGATATGTGCCTGAAAACATCATGCTCGCTGGCCCAAGAATCATAACGGCAAAGTCTTTGTCGCCATGCCAAAATTCAGGTCAGGAGTGCCAGCAACTCTGGGCTACTTTCACATGTCTTCTAAATCTGTGAACACCCTGATAACTCCCTTCCCAAATTGGAAGAAGAACATTCCAGATGACTGTGACAGCTTTCAAAGTGTGATTGGGACTGAAATTGACCGTCAGGGAATAATGTGGGTTCTAGATGGTCATAGAGCTGGCAACGCCCTGAACGGTCTTAAGTGTCCTCCAAAATTAGTTCTTCTGGATTTGAATGCTGAAGGAGTGGTGCAGCATGTAATGAACTTTCCGAATGAAATTTGTCTAAGTGACGGAGGGTTTTTGAATGATATAGTCATAGATGATGCTGATGGTACATTTGCTTACATCACTGACAACTCCCAAATAGATCCAGGACTTATCGTTTATTCACGAAGCGAAAACAAAGCTTGGAAGTTTAGAGATGGATCGATGTTTCCTGAAATATCAGCTTCTAATTATTTGCTTGATGGTTCTCTGGTAGATATTCTAGCACCTATTGATGGAATAGCTTTATCTCCATTTACCAGAAAAAAACCAAGAACCTTGTATTTCTCTTCCTTAACTGGCTATGGGCTATTTGGCATCAGCACGGATATCTTGAAGAACAAAGATAGCCTTAAAGACCCAACATGGAGAAGATCTATACAGATAATTGGACAGAAGGTGTGCTCAACTGACGGAATGATCATGGATAGTAATGGAAATCTCTACTTTGGACTTTTATGCTTATCAGGAGTAGGAAAATGGAACATGTTTGAACGTTTCGGGTTCTCAAGAATCATTTACTCCAATCCAAAGACAATGATATGGCCAGACGGATTCACGATAGACTTTGATGGGAACCTGTATGTGCTGTCTAATTATGCCTTTAGGTTTGCTGGTAATGAAACGTTATTCTTCACACCTGATGTAATCAAGATGAGAATTCACAAGTTAGGTGGTATAGGTGCAGTAAACTATATGTATAATTTTCTGGAACATTATTAATAAACGAGTAATCAATTCAACCTTATGGTCTTTTCTCAGCAGCATGTGAAGATAAGAACCACTCAATGTGAAGATTAGTGCTGTCAGTGTAGCATTTATAATTAGAAAATTAATGAATCGTCGTACTTAGGTAGAAGTCAGTAAAGTGTAAAAACCTAAATCTGAGAAAATTGTACTCAAAATTCTGGATTTTCTCGAACTAAATAAATAGTATCATTACGATAGAGCAAAAGTGCATAAATATTGCAAAGTTACATGACTTTATAGAGAGTCATTTAAATGTGATTTCGGAGCATAATTGTTGTCGAGACCTAAAATAAATGACACCGTCATTAATTGATGCACATCAAAAAGCAGTAACATGTGATTTCCTGCTGTTATACGAATTCACTGTCTTTGTACATAGTTTTCATAGTATATCTATATTGATTATGAAAACGGCAGTAGTGTAGAATTTGTAACCCCGCTAAACGTCTACCATGGTATACGGCTTTAGAAATGTAGCGCCTTAACCTAGATTAGCTTGACGGCGGTCATCCTCCAGTCAAGCGAGCTGAGATACTCTCAGCTGTGGCCAGTAGTGGACTGAGACGCAAGGAACTTCACAAATTAGGGTCTGCTTGCCTCGTACCCAAAATGTATGGTGTAAAAAACCGTAGAGTGAGGAAGACTTCTTAAAAATCTACTCTGTTCTCTGTCTAAGACAAAACTACTCATTGAAAACACTTAAACTTGAAAAAATCCATCTACATTTTTTACAAGAAAAGTAAAGCAAAGGCAAAAAAAGAAGGAAATTGACTAAAGTAATATAACTTCAGAAAGTTATTCCTTATTCTAAAATAAGTTATGTCAGCTCAAAAATCAAAATCATGACCAATGTATGGAGTAGGACCATAGATGGTGCCCTGCAGGCACTGCCCCACGTTATTTGAATCCCATAAAAAATGGAAGGGGTAGCACCCAAACCAGAACAACTGAACGTAAGGTACACCATCACCTCAACAGGAAAATGACTGCCGCAGAACACCTAACTTTATAAAAGAAAGTTAAATGAGCGGACTTGAAGATATGTTTGATAGGAAACCAAATTTTCTTATATGTTAGTATGGAGAAAAACCACAAGGTGGCGTTGATTGCCAATGCGCGGTCCCTAGAAAACCAACTCCACGAGCGACCAACAATATTTTATGAGGAAATTTCTGAAATGGTTACGAATAAAACATTAGTAGATTAGTGTCCAAAACACATCAACAACAGAAACTAATAAAATCAATAAATTATGAAATTTGCCAATAGAAAATCATTGAAGGCCTATGAATCGGTAGTCTTACATCTACATTAATAAAGAGAAATTTAAATTACTGGTAAACAAAGTAATGAAAAAAAGGTTACATGACTTTGGCACGTTAATATCTGCTTAATATTTCTAGAAAAAAAAATGTGCATTCTGGCATTTGCTTTCACTCATCTGCTTCATTAAGATTCAAGCTGCTGGTATATGACTGCGACAGAACCAAAAAAAGTTCTATAACATTGTATATAAAAAACTACATCGTTAATCGACAGCAAAAATATATGCATGAATAATATACACAGATCCAGTCATACTGGTAAATAATAATTACTCAACAAAAATATATATTCAATCCACAAGAGTGTGTTTGTGTCTCGGAGTTTTAAGCAAATTTCTGTTCGAAGGACTACATAAATAGTGTTTGGATAGAGCACACTTTTTACATAAATTGAGCATGATTCGCGAAAGCACTATGTAACATTAGTCGATGTTTCAGTCTCCTTAAATGCCTCATGTATTGTTTTCTGGAGGTATTTCGGATCAACTTCGACACGTCTTGTTTACCACTTATCACTCGACTATAACTAATCATCGAATCGCTCTCCAACAAGATAAGTATCTAGCAAAAGGAAACCTGCCAATAATGATTAATTCATATAACTTGCGCCATCATCAAAACAAGTAAAAGTCGAAATTGCTAAAGCCCCTGTTACCATAAGAAATGCATACAATCATTCATATCATTTATTAGTAAATTCAGTATGCGAAAATGTTCTCGGTGTTACAATGCGTTGTGTATTTTGTGGGAGTTTCTATTTGGCCAGGGGTTGAAGGATACGTAGGCAATTATAACGATGGTGATCAACACGGATTTGAAGCAATTTGGTCCTGGAGTTACGTGAACTACACGTGGCCTACAACAAGCTCCTACTATAAGGCTGTTGTGGAGAATAGGTAAGTTATTAGGATTTACTTTGCTGTTTCCATGAAATATTTTTAGTTTCGGCAGGTTTTTGATGAATTGTATTGGTATTCTCTTCGGTTAGCCAGACATGCTCATTTGAATGCATAAGAGATCATAAAAGTCGTTATACTGTTGAAATATTCTGCAAATGATCCGCACCGGGACAATCACTAAAACAGATGTTAACGTTCAGAACAACTCAATGAAGTGTTTTTCGAATAGAAATCTCGTGGAACTTAAAAAATTTGAGGATTAAAAATCAGAGAATTCAACTGTCAGTCATAAAATCGTGTATAGAAATTAATACTTCTAGTACATAACTATGAATACAGAGTTTTCAAAAAAGGTAATCTCCCACCTTTCTGAATTTTCGGGGCGATGTTAGTAAGCCAAGTTTAGGGGTGATAAAGTTAAAGCATTTTAACCTAAAAATGGTCAAGGTATCGGTATGGGGCCATCTTGGATCATTTTTTCAAAGTGGAATGGGGAGTCAAGATGTGATACTTGATTTTGAAGCTCCTTATCGGTACTTTATAGCTCTAATCTGCAAACTTACGAGATTTCGAAATGGGGGACTGGCGGGTTGCCAAAGTTGAGCGTTTTTTACGTTGAATCGCTTGTAACTCAAAAACTAATAACACCTGAACACATTAATAAAAAAGTGGTATTATACATTTGATTAGACCTACCTAGAATTATGAATTTCGATACGCTGAATCCGAATTTGAGGTCCGTACAATCTCAAAATTTTGAGTTAATTGAAAAAATTGCTTAAAATCGCGAAAAAAATGTACATATGCAAACAAAAAACTTGTCTCTACCTACATCAAATGCATTGCTTATGTATTTCAATATGCTGAGCCCAAATCTGGTGTTGATTTACCTCGTAGGTCCTCCAAATTTCTAGTAAATTGCAATTTCATTTCAGTAGATCACCTGTATATTATTTTATGTATTTCGATGCGCTTAAGCCTGTCATGACAGCATACTCGCCGTTAACCCAGGGACTCGGTGCTGTTGCCCACCACGCCTTGGTTATACAGGAACAAGCTCAAGGAACTCTCAAACGATTTCTTTCTTACTCTTGACTACCTTCTTTCAAATCTTGGAGACTTCAGATCCGAATTCAGCATTTTGTAACACATAAAATGTACTTGTTGCAGTTTACCAGTCACCTATCTGCAATTTTTGTGATTTTTAGCGACCTTGGCAATTTTTTGCAATTCATACAAAATTTGGAGGGTCTACGAGCTAAATCAACTTCAGATTTGTGTTCAGCATATTCAAATACATAAGAAATACAGTTGATTTGAGCCGAGAAAAATTGTTTGGGATTGGGATTTGTACCGATCTTCCTTTCAATTTACTCAAAATTTCGAGGGTGGAACGGGTCGAACGGACCTCAGATTCGGATTTAGCGCATCGAAGTTCATGACTAGGTGAGTCTGGTTAGATGTACAGACCACTTTATTATTCCTGTGTGCCGATGTAATCAAAACACTATAGTATGTTATATGAATCTTTTAAAGAGGTCTATCTGATTGCAAAGTATGGGTCATTACATTTGAAATAACTGACATTTTGACATATTTTTAAATGAAATATTCCATTTTTTATTATGTATTCAGGTAGATCATTCAAAGAAAACAAGAATGATATAACATACTAACATAGTACAGCGTTTTGATGGCTGGTTATTGAATTATAAACGACTGAATATAGAAAAACGCCCAACTTTGACCGCCTGACTATCCACCATTTTGAAAGAGTCTCATCCTGTACTCTAGGGTTGTAAGGTATACTCATCCTAAATTAATTTTAGGATCGATTAATAATTCTAGAATTCTAGTTAGCAATGCCAAGGCATCCTTCAAATTGACGCTTTTATTTCTTCTTTGCTCTCCCTCCTTCCTTCTTTATCCCCGACTTTGTCTGGTACCTGGGCAACCAGACCTGATAGACCTACTGTCTTACAATACTTTAACCAAGAGCAAAGGTCCTCTGGACCGCTCTGACAGACAATGACGCATAGAAGGCATACACATAAAGCCGATTAAAACAAGGATCTCATTCAACTTAAAAATACTCGTATGTTTCACCATATTAAATCATTCACGCTTAAATATACGAGACCCTTCCCACTTCAGTTGGCCCACTTCATGATTTGTATCAAAATATGCCTTTATAGACTAAACATGACGAAACTATTTACTTCTAAAACAATTTATTTTCTCAAAAACATTTTAGATACTCTCTAGTCGTAAAAAATACATATTTGAAATCACTTGGACCTATAACTAATTGAACATCTGAACAAATAAACAATGTGCGAATAAATGCGCGAAGTTAACAAAACAACAATTGAAAGATTACCATTGGGTAACATCACCTTTATTTTTTATTACGGCTGAAATTCTTTGGGGCATAGTGTTAACCAAGTTTTGGCAAAAATTTGGTGTAAAACAATCCCATATTTCTTGAAGCTATTGTCTCAGTTCGGTGATTGTACGAGCAGGACGTTGTCGTAGAACCTTTTTCATCTCGTGCCACAAAGTTTCAATAAGTGACAGATCTGGACGGCTAAAAACCCATTTCAAAAGTGGTACATTATTTTCTTCCATCCATGTTATAGCCTTTTTTGAGGTATGGCACGCTGCACCATCTTGCTGAAACACAAAATCTTGGCCGGATGTCAAACATTCTTCCATCACTGGTAAAAGCGATTCTTCTAAAATTGCCAAATATTTGTTTGTATCCACATTCCCATCAATAAAATGAAGTTTTCCCACTCATTTTGATGACATACTGCCCCAGACCATAATGGATGCTGGAAATTTCACTTTTCTCTTCAGACAGTCAACATGGAATGCTTCATTTTTTTGCGAATATCTTCTGCGACTGTCACCAACACAAAGTTCGAATCGGGCCTCATCACTCCATTGTATTGCACATCATTGTTGAGGTGTCCATTGTCTATGTTCTTTAGCCCATCTAAGCCGATTTTTATTTTGCAGTGGAGTTAATAGTGGCTTTTCTTTGGCCTATAAACAAGATGTGCAACTTTATGGTTTTTACTTCACTTTTTTTATAAGAAAACTTACCTTGCAAGTGCTAAATCCCAGTTTGTGGGCCTCTCTATGAGTTGTGGACCTCGAAATTCTCTTTCCAACATCGTCACTCCACAGAGCACTTAATTTTAAATAATTGGCACGCCTGTTTTTCACGATTATTCTTCTTAACGCTCTTCGGTCGGCATTTGTGATATTACTGTTTTTCTCATATCGTGGCTTAATATAAACTGAAACAGTTACGATATATCTTCTAACAATATTTCTCACACTGTACCGCGATAGGTCTAACAAAGTTACAATTTCTGAGTATGATTTCCCAGAATTAAAAAATTTATTATCAGTAACCGAATTTTCTCAATAATAACCTTTCCTCTACCCATTTTGAAAACCTTAACTACCCAAAACTATTTTAAACGTATTCTGACAGCTGTGATTAATAAAAACAATTGTGGTGGCTTTTATTTTTCACAGCCACCTATGCGTTGTAGACTTATTTTGCATTGAAATGAAAATAGGTTGACATGCTGTAAATGCAACATGTGTTATTTTTATGCTGCAAATTTGATTAGGGAGTGATAAAGTTGGTGTTTTCTACTAAATATTATCAAAATATTCATTGCTAATATTTTAAACCTATAACACCCTGCTGCATGTTTATTATTTGTGTTTGATAAGAAAAAAAATAAGATTTCAGTAGTTGGGGAAACTGAAGTGGGAAGGGGCTCGTAGTATTCATAATTCACATCCTTACTTATAACACGAAATAACAAAATAAATTAAATGCTTAAATAATGTTTAACCCCATCTTTTCGTCGGTGCTTTCTATTGTGCGGTATCTCGAATCCGATGTATTCGCAAACAGGCGCAAACATGTATTTCTTTACTTCCTCACATTATCAAGCAGAAAATTGTGTTGCTATTCCGTATAAGAATACGTAGGGGCTACCGAGTTAATCTACTTGATCCACAGATAAGCTTAATACGGTCGAAGTAAAATGAAACTATGTATGAGGTTATACAGTTGCAATTAGTATGTATTTATTTCGGATCAACGAACGCTGATAATTAGTTACAATAATTATACGAAGTTTTCCTATAAATGAACTTGATTAAACTAGACCACTGTCAATTCTTTATTTTTCGCAATGGAACTGATTGCCTTTCTATTCTGGATTTTCTCGCATAACATATAGGTGCTTGTTCTAGGTATTGGGAAGTAATTCCATAGCATCTTGGTGACAATACAGTACACTTGCAGCGCTTTCAAATGGAACAGTCAATTTTTAAGAAAGAATTCCAAGTTTAGTAATTTTTTTAAAGTGAATGTTTCATATTTTATTGCATACTCACATAGGACCTTACAACAGAAGAAGATCGATATTGCATACTATAAGATTTGATTATTAGTTGTTGAATTACAAGCGATTCAATATACAAAAACGCTAAGCTTTGAGAGTGTTTAGTTCACCACTTTCAAATATATTTATTTTATATGCTACGGGTATAAAGTACCTATAAGGATATTCAAAATAAGAAATACCTTACCGCGGCCCCTCATTCTATAAGAAAACATGTTACAAGATGCCGTCCAAATTTTATTTTCACGCTACTTAATCATCCCAAATTTCAGCTTGCTAGCTTGACCCATTAAAAAAAATAAGTATAGGGGAACCTATCTGGAAAGCACTGTTTTTCTAATTATTGTTTGTGTTTTGTTAAACTTTATTTACTTATTCAAATTATGCAAAAATATTGTAATAGCTTTATTGGAATTGTCAATTAATAGCTTAGTACACTTCTTAACCCATCTTCGGATGGTCGTGATCATAAAGTCATTTAAAACTATGTTGGAGACTATACCACACACACATTATGCAAGATCTGGACACAAACGTTTTTGTTTTAAAATAGTTTTTTTTTTGAATCGTTGATCCAAAGCGCACACATTGCATCATTCGTGAAAAGATTGATATCTCCACTTAACAGACGATCTGCATCCACTCAAACTCACTCCGCTACGCGCTGCCAGAATACATCTGCTCATCTCAGGCCAGCCGCGATTAAACCGCTCTCCTCGGGACAAACATGAGAAGGCGGTTATGAAAGTTCAGATTTGCGAGACCATTCGATGTTACCTTGCAATCAAGTAATATAGGTACCTTTGTATTTTGTCCTTCAAATGTTATCCATTTTCAATGCAATTTCTCATGAATGAATCGTAAATTAATGTATTTTCTTGTCATATTCGTCGTTTGTGCTATTTTCTGTTATAAACCCATGGCACCTGGACGCGCTAGCAGCGCATAGTTGAGCGAGTTTAAATGCACTCGATGGCGCAGACCATCTGTTACGCGGAAGTATTGAGACAGTAACATCCAATTTGGTGGAACCTCTTTATAATTTGCAACTTGACGGCAAAACATACTGATACAGTACATTTTCCCAAAATCGCTGTATTGTAGAAGTGTGACGATCCCTCTTGTGAAAAATGACACATATACGCTGTTGCGGTTACGTTCTCTAAGACATTGTCATTTCATCGCATTATTGTTGCAATATGTGTCATTTGCGAGACTCGGTTAAAACAAAAATGTCTACACTAAGAACTTGCTCTATGCATAGTGGCTGATCTTGTTTATAGTATTTTATGGGGATTATAGATGTACAACAGTTAATTCTAAAATAACCAGTACTGTTTCAAGAAATTACACGAGAAAACAATGTTAGTTTGGCAAATCACAAATAATAAAAAAACTATATAAAAAACACCACGTAGCCTCATTAAACCCAGAACAAGTTGAAACTATCAGATACGCCACGTCAAGACTTCTATTTTTTGTAATTATCCAACTCACAGTGGCACTCATCATAGTACAATTTCTCGTAAACCAAAGCTTATTGAACGAAATTCCATTGAAGCATGATTTGGGATGCTAAGATGCTAAGAATATTTTGGGTGAAATTCGTATTCCACTCCTGATGACCCCTCATTGTAAGTTATCTAACATTTTAATCGTCAACAGGTACCTGCCACAAAACATCATGCTTGGTGGACCGAAAATCTACAAAGACAAAGTCTACGTCACAATGCCAAAGTTTCGCACTGGAGTACCAGCTACATTAGGATACTTTCCTGTCATGCCAGAAAGCACAAACATGCTCATATCTCCTTTCCCCAACTGGAAAATGAACTACCAAGGAAACTGTTGGAACCTCCAAAGTGTATTAGGAGCAGAGATAGACCGTAAAGGCATCATGTGGGTCTTGGATGGGCACCGGTCCAGCAATATGATCAACGGGATCAGATGCCCACCCAAACTGGTTCGACTTGACTTGAACTTAGACGGATCACCAGTGCATGTGTTCAACTTTCCAAATGATGTTTGTCTAAGAGACGGAGGTTTTTTAAATGATATCGTCATTGACGACACAAATGGTACTTACGCTTATATAAGTGATAACTCTGTTATCGACCCTGGGCTCGTAGTTTACTCTTCCAGAGACAACACAGCTTGGAAATTACGGGACGGTTCAATGTTTCCTCAAGTCTTAGCTGCAGGTTACATCATTGATGGGTTCAAAATGGATTATTTTGGAACCGTAGATGGATTAGCACTCTCTCCTGTAACCGGAGAAGGGCCTAGAACATTGTTCTACTCATCTTTGACCGGGTACAGCCTTTATTGTATCACCACTGATATCCTACAGAATCAAACACTTGCTATGTTAGACACTTGGAGGGAAAATGTGAAATACGTAGGAGACAAAGCAGGCTCTTCAGATGGATTGATCATGGACAATGCTGGAAATCTTTACTACACTCTTGTATCTATATCTGGAGTGGGAAAGTGGAATATGTTCGAATCATTCGATAAGGCTAAAGTGTTTTACATCAACCCCAAGACTATGGTATGGCCAGATGGCTTCACCATGGATTCGCAAGGCAATTTGTTTCTGATCAATACATATGGATTTAGATTTTTTGCTTCGAACGAGACCCTTCAGTTTACACCTGATATGATCAAGTTCAGGATACATGTAATGCACACGGGTACGAAAAGTTACTTGTATGAATATCATCACAATAAAGATACATAAATTGATTTCTGTTTTTTTTTTCTTATATTATAAGAGCTGTAGTTTGAAACGTCTGATCCTGCCAACCGGCGAAAAAGTACTGTAATTGCGAAAAATTTCGGAAATGAGGTAGATATTTTGTTTGCTGGGTGTTACACCACGTAAGTCCACATCATTTTCGTCGGTCTATCTGTCACTCTGTCTGTCCGCTAATCATTGGACCCAATATAACGTCATAAAAGTTCCACTCTGATTTTGATGAAATTTTGAAAAAATTTTAATGCTTAGTAGTTTTTGAAAACCGGTCCAGAGGCAGTGGAGCTACAACCAAAAAAGTGAATAATGCTCAAACTCTGTTTTTAGGCATTTCAGGGGATCATACCCCTTTCTGAACAACTGGGGGTGGAGAGTTGCAGGTGATTTTGCGACTATCTCTCTCGTCTTAATTTCTGCCAATCACAAACGCGCAATTTTGAATTACAAATGGTTTCTAGATGGAAAAATTGTATGACAGCACCTATTCAGCAGATTTTTCGAGTTTACCCGCGGCAAAACTTGACAGCTGTTGTCATCAAAAATTACAATACCTTTGATAACAAGTAATTATTATGGTCTCCTAGGACACCAGAAAATGACGCTTAACATTTTTATGATTTTATTGTCAATAAATTTTGTAATACTGTAAGCTATGTGTATGCAGACTCATGACATAGTCTTGGCAAATTCCATTCGAGCATCTAATTTTTTCCTGTGAAAGAAAATCGAAAAAACTCAATGCAAAGTAATATTTTTTTAACAAGAAGCATGAGTGCTGGTGGCAACAAAAATCCGAGTCGAAGACGAGGATTTTTCCACCTGCACGAATATTACTTATCGTCGTGTTTTTTTATTTTTTTTGGAACAACTAGATGCCCTTATGTTATGATACTATATTTTTACGCTTCTAGCCTCAGTAATTCTGTGCAGCTATTCAGACTTGACATAAAGAAGAATGAAGAAATATTTTCAAGGCTTGCGTCGAGCGCAGTAGATATAGAAAAAACATTCCGCAAGCTAGCTGCTGCCGCTGGCAAGGTTTGCTGGAATCGGGCTTACCTCATTTTTGGTAGGGCATAGCAGATGCTTTCAGATCGCAATGTCCTCAAATGAGTGGGGCCTGAAAACTAATAATTTTAAGGGTATATTTGACTGACTTGACCCATATAGTTCCTTTGTTGAACATGTTCTTAGATTTTTAATTTTAATGATAGCATTGCAAAGAAATTGCAGAGTCAACCTACTTGACGCCATTTTTTTCTTATCGTTTGTTTTTAGGAATTACGAATGCAATTATTTAATGCTCAATAACAGGTGGAAATAACTGCGAAATGAGATTTACGAACCTATAGGGTGACCCAAATTTGGAGCATTCGCATCCCTTTGCCTGGCTTCAGAATTTTTAACATTAAAATTACAAACAGCAGTTTTTATTCTACTACATGTAACCAGAAACAGACTGTACGTTTAGAATTGCAATAGACAAACTTTATATTTGTTTTAATTATCTACACAATATATGTAACACCCCACACGTGCATTGTCACACCTTGATCTTGCACAGCAATCAGGATAAGGAAATGAATACAGTCACTTATATCAGCTGATAAGACTGGTACTGTAATTTAAAAAATGAGTTCTTTGTTGCAATGCCTCAAACTCGTTGTTGGACTGTTGCTTCAGTTCGGTGGACACCATGACAGCTGTGTTGCTGAAGAGGCAGCGTTTTGTACAATATGGTCATGGAATTACGTAAACTATACTTGGCCCTCGGATATAGATTACCATAGTACAGTAAGGGGTAACCGGTAAGTGGTTTTGAATGTCTAAGCTTCGTAATGTTTTTTTGTGTCGATATTCAGAAAATTAATTTCAATACTCTTCGCATCATTCTTTAAATTAATCTACTCTTGTCGCTAAAAACAGCTTGAATTTGAAATTCAGTTTAATTTGTGGTAGGAAGAGATGTTGCCTACTAGGCTTGTTACACTTTTAGCGACCCAAAATTCTACATGTCCTTGGAATTTTCCTTTTCAGTTAATCCTTTTCCTCTTCTTTATTAAGTTCCTTCGTTTTATTATCTTCTTTTTTCTTTTTTCTACTGCCAATATCTGGTTCTTGGTTTCTCTATACTTGAGAAGAAGAAAAACAGGCCGACTGATTAAATAGCAACGGACCCATCAACCGCCCTGACCCCCTAACGAAATATGACGCGTAGCATGAATAAGCCAATTTTGAACCTACTAGTGATTAGGTAGGTACTTTATGTATGTCTATCAATTGTATAGATCAACTCTACCATAATTATCATTACGATACCGATTAAGTAACAACGATGAATCTAGGACAGAAAAGATAATTCGCATATAATAAAACATATTAATTTTATACGAGGGTTCCTAGAGAGCTTCAAGAAAACACAAAATCTTTCACATTTGTAGGTTATGACAGTGTTGAAGGCAAGTTTGAAAGACCCACCCCTGACCATACCATTATTGGTGAACATTATAACCGAATCGTGGTAATGTACACATGGTACCACGTAAACCTCGTTTAAGCACACTTATTTGTAACAACATAATCTTATGTTCACCACAAAGCGAATACCTCTTTACAAATATATTATGTCTCCGACATACTGAGTGAGTATTTAGTGTCAAATTGGTCGATCATTCCGATATTAAGATATCCAAAAAGGGTATTTAAAAAAATTGTATATAACAAAACGGTGCTTTCTTTGAAATATGCCGTTCTCTACAGGGTGATTCATAACTACGTGGCAATACAAACAGGTATTGATTTGATTGGAGCACTGTATATTTTAGTATGTTCTGATAGGCTTCTTGAAACGACAAAGTCTGATATAGCATACTTATAGGGTTTGGGTGGCTTCTTCTGGGGCTACGAGATATATTGTCTTAAAAATTACCAACTTTGAGAGCTTGTCGTCACTTTTTCAGATAGAGTAGTGAGATTTAGATCTACCTTTCATATAATCCTGATGATTTTTTACAAGCCAACACCAAACTGTCAAGGGACCTTCAGGCTGCAAATCAATATTTCTCTGGCCATGTATTACTTATAAATCTAAGAAAATCCACCGTCATTACCTTTAAATCCAAGCTAAGCAATTTTGACAGTAAAGTTGTGAATTTATCTATCGGAGGTGAGCCACTCCATCATAAACTGCATGTAAAAAATTTAGGTGTGCTTTTTGACTCATCGTGAACATTCCATGACCATGTCACAAAAATAGTACAAAGCTCATATAGTGCCTTGAAAAGCATATATAGTGTCAGACACATACTTTCTGAATCCGTCAAAGCTAGGTTAACTAATTCGTTAATTCTAAGCAAAGTAGAATATGGTGATTCTATGTTTGGTCCTTGCCTGATACAAAATGAATCCTACAAGTTGCAAAAGATTCAAAATGCATGTGTCCGTTTTTCGTCATTTAAACAATTTTCAAATTTTACGTATTATCTATATAAGTATAGATACATCTTGCATTTATAAATACCCTATTCAGATGGTACACAAAAATTGAATAATGTGTAAAGGAGAAACAAGAGGATACGAAGCTGTGAATTTTGTGTTTTTTCAGATAAGATATTTCATAACTCCCCGTGTAATCCAAAATCTATAGTACGTCATATCAAACTTCTTCCTTTGAAGACGCCTTTCAGAATATACTCAAACACACATGACGCCTCACCTACAAAATGCATGTATGTGTTGCCTCGTAGGTGTGAATCACCCTAACAAAAGCGGTATATCTTTCAAGTAAAGAGCTCAGAGTTACCTTTAAAATAACTTTTTCAAATAGCTTTTATAATAAATGAGCTGTCGATCGATTACAAACTAGACTTTTTCAATTACTTTGGTGGAAATTATTTTATAACCATATTATTCTCACAAAAAGTTGGTCCAATGATAGCCAGTATTGAAAGTTTCTATATTTGTTTCATTCATTTATTTTATTCATACCTACACGATCCTGAGTCCTCCAAGATGCGACAGCATGCTATCTTTATACGTTATCCTAGTTCAAAATATATTGGGGTGGCCCTCGTACAGACCTCAATCACCAAATCAAAGTAAAAGTCAAAAAAAAAGAACCATTCAATGACATACACCTTGAACGACAAACCTTCATTTTGATCTGAACACAATCACTGCTCGATCGATTGTTGATCAGTCGCAATGTGTTCGATCTTTGAGTGCTTGCTCATCACCGCCGGGTACTTCCTCCAATCAAAAGGGCACTGTGAAAATTGCTTGAAAGCGAACAGAGATCCACCCAAATATCATCAAGAGGGGTTCGAAACCAGATGGTCTTGGAGTTACGTGAACTACACTTGGCCATCCTACGATGAGTACCTTGATGCAGCTGTTTCTGGGAGGTGAGATATTTCTTAGAGAGTTAAAGGATGCATCTATCCTATGATTTGTTAACAAAGTACTCAAATGTTGTGAACAAGGAGGAATTAGAAGCTTTATATGAAGGACCCAAGAAACATTTTAAGTTATAATTACGACCACAAAATAAGTTAAAAAGATTGCATGACCATTCTGAAAAGGGTTATATTTACTTCCAATCGTTTGCCTTTTTCCCAAACTGGAGAATAACACCAAAGTAATTTAGAAGTCAATATTAGGTCGATTAGGCGTTTGTTACTAATAGGTCGATATGATCGAAGGATGTAAACAAATATTTAGGTCATCTTGTGGCGAAATCGTAGAAATGTTGTCCTATCACATGAGTCTGACATAAATTTAACAATAAAGGGAACAAGCATAATATGTCGCTCTCTCTTGCTCATACATACAGTTAGCAGCCTGTGGGTTAAGAAGATTAGCTGGTGTTGCACTTGTCTGTAGCCGAGTATGTTAAAGAAATGGCTTCCATTTGTGATAGTGATTATAACAGAATGATTACGAAATTAGATTTCGGTCACAAGTGAACGAAACATCTATGTGCAATTTTTTCGTCAAATGTGGCCACAATAGTGACCCAAAATTCACACAAAAAGTAGCATAATATGTAAACAATTAGTTCATTTTCACGTTTTAGTATTAAAAAGCGAATATATATCACATATGGCTGCTTTCGGAATTCGACCTGTATGTCGAAATAACATGCATACTTAACTTTGTCGTTGAGTTTACTTGGAGGCCAAATTCCAAATCAAGGTGAAACTAGGAGTAGGTTTTTATTTTTAAGCAAACAAGTTAACATTAAATAATTTTTCAGATTAATGTAAGCTGATTTATTAGTCTGCCGTAGCTGGCAAGATGCGTATGAATTATACTACAACTACAATATTGCGTGTATGCGTTAGGAAAAAAATCCTGTCAGGGATCATACTGTACAGTGTGATTCAGAAATAAATACGTCCAATGTTTATAAGATATTAAGTAGATCAAAAGATAAAACGTAAAGTTCATATCAGCAGAAATTATAATTTCTAAATCAAAGTAATATATCTTCGGAATGGATTAAGATATTGACCATGTAGTGCTGACATCATAGCCAAACCACCTCTCTTCACATTTTTTTCTGACTTCCTTTTGGAGGAAAATTTCTTTGAATATTTGAGTTGAAGTCCATATGGAAAATGTATGATGTTAGCGGAGTTTGACATTGAGTATTCTATGTGATGTATAAGGAAGGTCCTCCCATTTCAAGGTAACCCTTATTCAGTCTCATCAGTGGCATTCAAATTCACAACACCCTGTATCTTGATAATGGGACATTTTTTGTTATTCTTGAATGAACTTTCTACAATATAAATATTGCCAAGTTTTTCTGGGTCTGTACATGCGACGCCATTCCAGGTGTTACTGCTACCATGTATTCCTGAAAATTATTCGTGGTGGAGTAATCTAAATGACTCGCAAACGTTGTTGTTGTATGTTTGTCTTTTTGAGCTCCCTTACATTTTTCGACGCAATCATCCATCTTCGTCTTGCTCATAAGCTTAAAGAAACGGAATATTTTTTCTTATGTATTTCATGAACCTAACGGACCTGCCAAAACACGTTATAGAATGATTATATAAAAATGTTCTTAATTCTTGCAATGCATGATATTTGTAGGGGATAAACAAACAAATTTGCTTCATTTTTTAATTTTTATTCTACATAATGAACTACAATAGAAGAACTTGAAATTGTTAAATAAAAATAGGATTTTCTTAGTTTTCCGTATTCTAAGAAATCCTTTAAGATATTTTCAAACGGGTAACGTTTCCTGACACAAAAGATTTAATCGGATCAGGAAGCTGAAGTGCAAGTAATAATAATTATGATTTGTAAAAGATCGTTGGTAATGGAATGTGTAGGTCTGGGCACGGCAGCATTCAATTTAAATTCCTTAAGTATCGATTTAAAACCACCATTGCTTTTTTCGAAAAGGCAAAAAATTGTTGATTATGAGTTGCATGATAGGTGTTGTGCGTGTAATTCACCATTTCTATAATATCTATACAGGCAGCTGTTTTAAATATTTAAAATATGTATAACTAAAGGACCTTCTCAGTCATATAAATGAAGAGGATTGGGTCAATAATTCTGGTGAGAAACAATAAAACTCGTGGATTTTGAAATATAGCCCTCTGGCAGCCACCGCTTCACAGATATCTCGGTGCCAGCTTCTCTTAGGACGTCCTCTTTTCTTTCTCTCTGGTGGAACCGATTCCTCATTCGTACCAGATGTTTTGCTTAGTTTCGACAGTATCTAAAATTGTTGTCCTTTGTCTGATACTATTGTTACGGATATGCTCAATACTAGAAACGTCACAACTTCTCCAGAAGTCCATCTCGAGTGCAAAAACAAGCTCACGATGTCGCTTATTGACCTACCACACCTCAGCCCGATATCTGCCAATGCTCTTAAGTATCGCATTGTAGATCCTACATTTGGTCGTTTTTGTTCTGTTATTGTTCCACAACACATTTTATTTATTTCCTTATTGCATTTTCCATCAGATCAGCTGATAAGGTCACTCCCAGATATTTCAAGACTCTACTTCCCTTTATTTCCTCTGTCCCCGCTATCAAATATTAAACTGTACTACTTCATACTTGAAGGTACTCCGCTTTTGCTATATTTATGGTTCATCCCCACACGTTACACTTATCCTTCAATTTTCGGAAGATATAGTCTGGGTCGTCTTGACCTGCTGCCACTCTCACTTGTTATCAGTGAACAATGAAGTCTCACCAGTGTAAAATTGTCGTACTGCTGAAATATAAGTACCAGACACGTTACTTTCAGCATATCGACCAAATTAAGTGGTGATTATTCCAATTTGCAACTCTTTTTCCATGAGATTTCGAGGTGTAAAAATACCATGAATGCAGGATCTCCTAGGTCTAAAACCTTTTGAAATAATTGATTAAAAAAAAATCGACTTTCAGCATTTCTTTACTGCACAACGTATTTTACATATTAGCACGATTAAAGACAAAATACCCAAAATTCCTCTTATTGTCAGTTAGCCTAAACATTATTCGACATGAAATAAGACGCATTTTCATCATCTATGATAATTTGTCACAGCTATGTTTGTCATCACTCATTATAAATCTACTTTGGAAAGGTTTATATCTGATAAATTGCAGTTTACTATATGCTCATAGATGCTTTCCAAAGTAGATTTCTAATTATTGATTAAAGTAAATTTCTAATTATTGATGAGAAGAGGAAAATAGCTGTAGCAGATTCTTCTAGATGACGCCAGGTTATCTCATATCATCTCGGATGATTTTTTGGAGACGCCCGAACGTGGTTGGCTATCTTCAGGTAGAATAAGTTAAGCCATGGTATCATGAACCTCATTTAATGAATCTAATCTGATATATTTCTCAACAGATATCTGCCACAAAACATCCTCCTAGGAGGGCCCAGAGTATACCAAGACAAAGTCTACGTTACGATGCCAAAATACAGAATAGGAGTACCAGCTTCTTTAGGATTCTTCCCTTTGGTATCGTTGGAGAAAACCAACATCTTGATAACTCCATTTCCAAGTTGGGAGATGAATCACCAAGGAGAATGTAGAAACCTACAAAGTGTGATTGCAACTGAAATTGATCGGCAAGGGATTATGTGGGTCCTGGATGGTCACAGATCCAGCAACTATATCAATGGGATACGATGTCCAGCGAAAATGGTCCTTATGGATTTAAACAGAAGAGGAGCGGTAATACAAGTGGTTACATTTCCGAATGAGATATCTCTCAAAGATGGAGGCTTTCTCAATGACTTGGTCATAGACGAAACTGATGGAACCTATGTCTACATCACAGATAATTCGGCAATAGATCCAGGACTTGTCGTTTACTCCTATAACCAAAACAGGGCATGGAAGCTACGTGATGGATCAATGTTTCCACAAGTCAGCGCTTCAGGTTACGTTATCGATAACGGATTCAGGATAGATTATTTGGGCACGATAGATGGATTGGCCTTATCACCTTTTACAGACATAGCACCAAGACTACTGTTTTATACCCCCCTAACTAGCAACCAACTTTTCTGTGTTACTACAGATATTTTGAAAGACCAACAACTTGCTAGCAACCAAACCTGGAGAAGATACGTCAAATTCGTAGGAGAGAAGCAAGGTTCTACAGATGGAATGGTTATGGATAATAAAGGAAACCTGTACTATGGATTAATTCCCCAATCTGCGGTCGCTAAATGGAATATATTCGAACCCTTGAAAACTGCCGAAATAATTCATAGAAACCCAAAGACAATGGTTTGGCCAGATTCATTCAGCATGGACCTGCAGGGAAACCTATTTTTAGTTACTGATCACGCTCACAGATTTTTTGTGAATAACAATACGTTACTGTTCACTCCAGATGAGATCAAGTTCAGGATTCATGTTATCCATGTTGGAACGAGAAGCTACATGTATAGTTTTAGTGAAAATTTTCAGAAATAGACGTGATAATGATAGCTTCAATTTGTATTTTGAATATATACCTATCAATTGTCTTGACATTCGTTCAAATAAGGTATATCGAGAAGCTTCCATAATAGTGTAGACTCCATTATTCTCTAAAGCTATAAAATAACTTTAGCGCCCGCCAAGCTTTAAAAAATTGCCCTATGCCCATTAACCACAAAACCTGTCCATATTTATATGTTGCTAGCCGGTGGCTAGAACAACCTATATCCGGTGATGTAGTACGGTCATTTTATATATTCTTATATCGAATTATAGTCTACATAAAAATTTGAACCCACCCTATAGCCGGCAGTAGATATAATTTTATTAGTATTTTGGGAGAAATAAGAAATAAGTGCTGGAACCTGTGGAACTATGCGCCTTGGGCCCCACTTTTACGCCAAGATTAATAAACGTACACTTTACGACCCTAGTTACATAAATAACTATTATCGACAGTGTTCTTCGAATACAATATCAAACATTGTCCCATCTCTAGGAACGCTGGCACAGGTTATGGTTCTATTGTTTGTCGTTCTGTGGTTCCATGTCATTTTTCTTTTGAGGTTAGTTTATTGTGATGATTAAAGTTGGCAAGAGGGGATTTGATAAATCTTTTTTAACGAAGATTTGAATTTCCGCAAACCTGCAATAATGACAACTATCACAAACGATCCAACTGCATATGTGGAAGCACACGCCTTATTAGTAACTTACACAGAAAATGTGTAAAAGAGGTGATAAAAGGGTATTGTCATACGCTTCCCTGTACTGCTGATCAAAATGGGCATTTCTTGGAAAAAATTGTTTCCTTCGACATTGAGTGCCATAATTTTCGTTCTGTACATAGTTTTATTCGTAAATCAAGGTAAGGCTATACACCTATGTGACTCAAGTCGCCTTCTAATTATTAATTCTATCTTTACACAGGCATCCTTGTCACTGCATCACAACAATCAAATAATGATTATGATTACAACATAGTGACGGTGGTTTTACTCACTGAAGTACTGAAACTTCTAATTTCAGTTACACTTTATTGCAGAGAGTAAGTAAACAATGTTTCATTACATATTTGCTAAACCATTTACTTGCTCTATAACAGCCCAGGGTGTCCACTGATTTTTCTTGTTGTTACTTACTTTTTATCCACTCGGTTTTTTCCTGAAAGGCTCATTTTTCTCTTATTGTGAAGACATTTTTTTCATAAGTGCTACTTGCTTTCAGAAAGGTTGCTGATGTTAATCATCTCCCCTCTTTTTTTGGGGATTATGGCCTGTATAGTGAAAGCCCTAAAATTGCATTTCTATGATTCGAGTATTTAATCAAACAATATGATGAATACTGCAAACATAGTGGTTTTTGTTCATCAAAAAAGAGGAGTGCTGAGCTTCTATTTTCCCAAAAGACTAGATTAGACAAAGTAGTTTCTGATAATTTTGTGCTCAATGTATATCCATCCTATCAGCATGTGCAGATTGGTGAATCTGTCTAAGGCAGGTGCAGGTAGTGGCTGCATATTTAAGCACTTAACCGCCCCTTTTGAGAGCAAATGCCCTTATATATAGCATTTTATGAAAAAAATGGCAGCCTTTTGTGTCTTAGGGGATGCCCTCCCCCTTTCTCTAAATCCGCACTTGCCTATAAAAGACTCCCTTGATTTGAGCCACTAATTTGTTATCCATCATTTCCAAGCTATATGGCAACATGCAACACTACTATGTTAATTTCATACACTTTAATTCCAATTTCCAATATACATTTCTAAGTTGTTCTGTATGATTGTTGTACTAATTCTCTTAGTTAAAGAGTTATTATTCTTTCAGGAGTTTGCCAAGCAACTTAGTCAAAGAAGTAGTACAGAATAAGAATGTCCTAATTTTATATTTTGTACCTGCTTTCTTGTACTGTTTATACAACAATTTGGCTTTTGTGAATTTATCATCATTTGATCCTACAACATACTATCTTCTGCTTCAATTCAGAGTTGTTGTTACTGGAATTCTATTTCAAGTAAGTAAATTTTTCTCACATGTCTTTCATTTTTAGTCAAATTACCTATTTAGCAAAAAAAAATACAAATATATTTTGTAGAAGTCAAATCATTGATTTTATAACATTTGATTTAGGATTACTAATCATCAATATAAAAATGATAGATTATAAACATCACAAAGTGCAAACTTTGTTCTGATCCTCGAGTTGTGATTTTGATTCTCAGCTTGTCAAAAATTTATTGTTGATTTCTAACAGTATAGACAGGACAGGAGGATATACCTGAATGATTGTTATCATTATCTGTAATTTCTGTCACTACCTTCAATTTATTTCCTATGCTTTTATGAATATACGACTAAAATTCACAGGCTTCAGGCCAAATGGCTTGATGGAGTCTGACATAATCTTGACCCCTTAAATTCGCTCCTGGGACTAAAAACTACCACTTAAAAGAGGATGGAAAATTGATTTCCCGATGCCACATTCTCAAGCACAATATACCTATTTTTTTAAGTATTCTTCAAGAATGATTTGGTATTTGAAGTTGAAAATTCCATCTCACTTGAATTCACCTTAGGCTTCAAAGCTACCCTTAATGACGGGTGGAAAATGAGTTTTGAGTGACTGATGCTAAATCGTTGTACTGCTGGATGCGTATTTCGGCAGTCTGATGCACTTTGCTGAACCGTAGAACCCGTTGGTCCTAACATGACTATTGTTGGGCCATACATAAGTAAAATACCGATATGTCTTGGAATCCAAAACTTTTAAAAGTTATGAACTTATTTCGATAGGTGTGTCAGAGTTCGTAAGTATGGACGGAGTTCACCAGCTTAACATACACGTGTGTATGTAGGCCAGACTTTTTATGGAGACATACATATGATATGTCAAATTTGACAAGTACGGACAGACCATGAACAAGACCTCCGGTCGTTTTCACCGAACGTTACCAGTCTAGTGCTGCCCTCTTTTCCTCAAAAAAAAAAATAATGATACAATCTTGAACAAGTTGAGCCATGGTCACTCCCAATAATACTAGATGGGCTGAAAGTTTTGAAAAACTGCAATTAAAAACATGGCCCTGGTTTTTCATACTGTCTGCGAATTCCAGGGGTATAAAAATTTCGCTCACCCCGAATTCGGATTCAGCGTTGAAAAATAAATAGGAATATCATGCTCCAGGATCTGCTAGGCGTAGTTTAAAGCTTGAATAATATCAATAAACATAGTCCAAATGAACAATAATAGATTTTTTCATAAAAGTTTAATCTGATTTATAACTATATTGAATTGAAAATATAATGAATGATAAACATATGTGGAGTGTTGAGTGTTAGATTACACACGTTTTAATCGAATTTGTATTGTCTCAGTCTCAATATCTGCCTCGAATTTCATAAAAAGTTTAGACAAACTGCTTAATTATGGAAAACGGTTTTTAGCAACTAAAATCTGTGGAAAACAAATATCGTTCACTAAACATAGTTGTTGAAAAGACGTAACTATATCATACTGAGATTTATAGCAATAGCATAAGGAATGAAATGCTATTCATTTATGAAATTTAAGCTCACCATGTTTTCTTTAAAGTAGATCATATGCACTTCACTATTTTCATTTATATGTTCGCAGGTGATATTCAAAAAGGTACTTAGTAGGATGCAATGGATATCCCTCATCCTACTAACCATAGGTTGCATGTTGAAACAAGTGAATTTCTCAGAAGAAAAGAAGGAAGGCCCCTATAACAAATCTATGTCGATGGAGTTCGGTTTTAATGCTGTTTTGATATTTTTACAAATAATCTGCTCTTGTTTAGCGGGAGTTTATAATGAATACCTTCTGAAAACCGTTGGTAGTGATATAAACATATATGTTCAAAATGTTTTTATGTACTTAGATTCCATAGTTTGCAATCTTCTAGTCCTGACGTTCAACGGCAGTTTGGTTAGCGCATTTGTATACGAAAACTTTGTTAAAGTATTTCACTTTAAAGTATTAATAATAATGATAAACAATGCAGCGATTGGCATTGTAACCAGTTTCTTCTTGAAGACTCTGAACTCTATACTTAAAACTTTCGCCAGCGCTCTAGAATTAGTTTTGACTGCGATTTGTAGTTATATGTTCTTCAGTATTCCTATATACTTGAACACTGTTTTGGCCATCACGACTGTACTCGGTGCCATATATCTGTATTCTCAAAATCCAGTACAGAATCCTCCAAAATCCACGTCAGTCAGTATTAAAGATGAGGAAGCATTATTACAAATGGAGGAAGTATGACATTATCATGAGTATTGATTTTATGTTCAAATTTTTATAGTTGCTTTGACTGCTGTTTTTTGGGCATCAACTGCTTGATAAGCATCACATGCTTCAATGTGATAAAATGTTACCCAGCTCAAATTAGGCTATACATTCCACAATTAGGATAAATATATGTATGTGTGAAGAGTTTTTTATTTTTTAAAGCTATATGTGTACATATGCAGAAATAAATTGGTTCAAAATCAGTGTTAGTATATGCTTTTACTTCCCATGCCTATTGGTGAAGAAGTATGGTAATGTTATGTTATATGACATGTTCATCATGAAAAACCATGTCAGTCATTTCAATCAGCCTGCCCGCTAATCTTTGTACCGCATATAACTCGGAAAGTACTGCTCGGATTTGGATGAAATTATCACACAAGGTTATGCAAAAGACGAAAAAGCTTTGCATTTGCATTGGTTCCTAAATGCGCCCAATGGCAATAATGATGTGGTTATAGGCTGATAATATAAACAATAACTTAAATAAATGAATAATGTATTTTAAAAACAGACACCACAGATACATTCTAAAACTGAACCTGCCTTCTAAAATGTTTCTGTAATACATCATTGTGTTTTATTCCCATTTTCACCCTATGCTTGGCTTGTATTCTTTTCATATAATGTATATCTCTGGCTTTCCTGTGAATAAGAAAGTGCAAAATAGTAGTGAAATTCTGGAAATATAGCAGGGAAAGTATCATAATGTACGATGTTGGATATTTTTGTTGAAAATCCAACAAGAAATGTGATACTTGTAGGATATAGAGGTCAAATATATTTATTTTTTATTCTTGCATCTATATAATGATGTTAGAATGCCCAGATTAAATTGATTGTTGCCTAACAGATTCTTATTAACTGGCTTAAAAAAAATCAGATCCTGAGTAACTTCTGTTCAAGATGAATCTCTTCAAGGTGGCGCTGATGAGCCTGACATTCTGAATGACAAAACATGATGAAAATGACAAACCTTGCAGCTGCAGCTTGTTCTGTCTCACTCCAACCCAATGCTCTATAAGTAGCTAGAACTTTATGCAGCTTTCGACTATTCTTGCTAGGAACAAGGGTCCTATTTGGGTTGAAGCTTTGCCTGTAGTACCTAAATAGACTCCTGTGCCCTATCTTAGCTCCTGATGGTAACACCAGTTGGTAATCACCTCCATCAAGTTCAGGAACATCAACCTACAAATTAACAGATCTCTCATAGGAGCTTAGTTCTTGTGTTATCGATTGGTTCATCACTTTCCAGGTTTGGCAACAACAATATTAAAGAAGAGAACAAGAGTAAATATGACAGCAAAGAAAAAGAAGGAAGTATTCTTAGACCAAGAAGAGATGCACCAAATTTGACAAATTCTACTATTAATGTAGAACTGGAGGGAATGTATCAAATAGGAAGGTCTCATCATACCTCGCCATCTACATCTACTTCATCATTAGTGGCATCTGGATATGAAGAACTATAATCATAGAAATCTGCATATTCTGCCAATGCTTCACCCTCATGAATCATTTTGCAATGTCCTTTGTCAACCATATGTTGCCTTGCTGCCTCAGCAGAGTGGAATGTCCTGCCTTTTTCATTACACCACAGACACATGAAGCCTATCAAAAAGAATATTATATAAATGCACTTTGTGCTTCTAGCGTCAGGTCATACATCTATCACTGATGTTGATGTATATGTGACATGATTATTTAATAAATAAATCCAACTTACCGTCAGAAACCTTTTCTCCTAAATACCTTAACAATCCCATAACATCTGTGCAGTACTCTATATCCGGAATAAAAAAAGAATGGACTACAGTCATATGCTCTAAATTTTTGATGAAATTTTTACTGTGATGGCCACAGAAGATGCAATCATTGTTATCAATAGGATTTTCTGATTCGTCTTCCCATTCATCAGAATCTAGTTCTTCTATATCAGAGTCTGACTCACAAATGCTATTAGAATGCGGATTTGCTTTCAAATCCTTATATAAAGACTTTTGTGTAGATGTCTTATCAAGATTATCCTTGTGTTTTTTCGAGTTTAAATGATTATCGTACGCATTCTGACTACCAAAAGATTTGTGACAAGCATCACAATACACATGTTTAGTTTCAGTGGGCCTTTTGGCAATAGTAGTAGTGCGCTGACTACTTGATCTACGTTGAAAATCTTCCTCAGTGACTGGTGGGAATTCAGCCACTTTTCTTTTTAAGTTATATCGATGCCAATCTGATTTGTAGTGGGCTCTTTGTAAATTCGAATCTTCAAACGCCACTCTGCATGATACACAAGTGAAAGGAGCTGGAACAGTTTGCCCAACTTCTGGCATCATAAGGATTTTCAGACTATATTCTTGGGATTTCTTCTATAATCAGTAATAAATACTCAGCGAGATAAAACTCAAATTAAAGTCAATTTTAAACTTTATGTAGATTGATTTGACACCTCACACCAAAACTAAGGTTAGTTCACGACCCACCACGTGATTCACACTCGGGGTGCTAGGTGGTTGGAGTGTTTGTAGTTTACAGGTTCACACCTAAAACTCACAGAACACCTAGATAGATTAGTGATGAGACGTCCTATTTTTGAATATCGAATCGATACCCAGAAACCAAAATTTCAGACTAATAAAACAAATATTTACTATTCTTTTTAGATTTGCTTTATTCTATTTATACATTTTTATTGAACATTGAATTCACTGTTTCCATATCCATTGCCTGTTTGCTGCCAAGGTCATCGTAAGTACTCGTATAACAAAATTTGTATTTTCTTACAGTAGATACTGACATAAAAATCGGTTCCATTTCCATAGCATTGTCAATTTCCGAGGTAATAAATCGTGTTTAATATAAAGGAAGCAGTATATATCATCATTTAGATTTAAGTTGTGGCCGTTGAATTTTGCGCATTCGACGCTTCTGTCGCCGTAGACACAGTATCAGCTTCCTTTATCGCTAGCCAAGGCATACGATTTTGTAGCTCAATTCTGCAATAACATTAACAAATTAATGTCATATATCTACATCATGCAATAAAAATAAGCTGACCATAAAATTATTTATATCATTTCTCAAAGAGCACTGGCCTATAACGATGATCATTCGACTGAAAGGAGTTAAGCATTGTTATCCTGGTCTATGGAGAATACCCAATTAATATTTTGTCATCCATTAACTTTTAAATATTGGATCAATCAACTACCCATAATTTTGGAACAATAATTGAACTCACCTAAACTTCGGATGGCTGATAGCGTAAACATATGGATCGATGCAAGCGACCAGCTTACAACATAAAGCCGGTATCATCGTAACTCCGGGCGTGAGCAGTGATTGGTCGCCGAACCCACCAATCAATGCCATCACAGCGTACGGCGTCCAGGACGCCACGAACAATCCGCACACTGTGATCGCAGCTTTAGCTATTCGCAGTTCGGCGGACTCGGTCTGTCCCTGTTGGTTGGCTCGAAGTGACTCCACATTCATTTTTTTCGCCTACATGAGCATAACAGGGAATTTCGTTAAATATAGACATTAAACAATACGATATAGTAGACGATAGCATGAAACAATTGGCGAAAGCAGTATTATTCGTTTTCATTGGCGAGTAGACGATTCACTCTGTATACCAAATCTATTTGCGTTAAAAGAGCGCAAAGTGTTGCATTGCTGCTCGAGGAACGGTGCACACTACTTTGAGGTCGAATAGTCCTTCTTATTAGATATCTACATACATACCTGTTCTCTTAGAGCTTTTTCATGGCTGAACACCTTACTGACAATTTGACTGTAGAAATAGATTATCAACGACATCGGTATTGCGTAAGAACAAGTGAAAATGGTGCCTATGAAGAGTTGTATGTCAAAGCGTCTCGTCAAGAAATCAAATGTACAAGCTGTTAAAAATCCCTCTGAAAAATAGATTTGTTAGAAATACCAGTGTGAATTTAGCTTCTGCTTTTGAGGCTGAAAAGGCTGCAAGCAGCTGTAATCTTAGTAATATTAAATATAGGAGTCTTCTTTCAGTACAACCTTACTACAATTTAGCTGCTAAAGGATCAATCTCTCCAAAAATATTACCTATTTTGTTCTTACATGGCTAAAATTTTAGCGTAAACGACTGTGATTGTGCTGAAGTTTTTTTTAAATAATTTCGGGCAAACAAAACATTTTTCTAACGCAATACATGCTTTAGAGACTTATTTTTTCTCTAGCAAGGCCTTTTTAACATTTCTTATCGGAACTTGCAACCTATTCATCAATTGTACCTTCCACGCCACCGGCGAGTTAGTATTGTTATCGAGAAAAATTTCGAAAATAAGATATGTATTTTTGAACGCCAGATGACATGTACATCACCTAAACCCATGTCAGTCATTTCCGTCGGATATTCTGTCTATGTGTCTGTTGGCGTATCCGCTAATCCTTAGCGGGTTTATAACCTTGAAAGTACCTCTCGGATTTGCATGAAATTTTCACACAGGACTACATCTGTGCCAAGGTCGAAAAGAGTGCTCAAACTTTCTTTTTAGACTTTAAGCGACTCATAGCCTTTTAAAAAAAATGAGAGATGAAAAATTGGGAGTATGGAGTTTCAGGGGATGGGAGAGGGAATGCCTAATTTTTCTGACGTTAACATATTTATACGCTTCTATAAGATAGAAGGTAATTATAAGACTTGGCATGAGCAAGAATGAATAAATATTTTCAGGACCTGCGTAGAGCATAAGATAGAAGATACCATTCCTAAGATGGTCGCTGCCGATGGCAAGGTTAGCTGGAATGAGATTTACCTGAATTTAAGTAGGATAGGGCATAGCAGACATTTTTTGACGTTAGTATACTTATACGCTTCTAACCCCGGTAATTAAACTCAGAATGATAAAAAACCGATGAGTGTCTTAATGTCAGGCTGTTGCTGCCGTTGCCGTGCTGCCGACACTGATGTGTGTACTATCGATAGGGCAGGGAAACCGTCTATGAACTATTTGACCGAGATGATCCATTTAGTTTCTCAGTTTTCATGTTTGCAGCTAACTTTTTTCCCAGAGAGTTGCAGCGTTGCGTGGTCAGTGCAGAGTCAACCTACTTGATGCTATTTTCTGATGTAATGTACAACAGAGCAGGCTCTACAATCAAAATACCTGGTCCGTATCGTCCCCAAACTTCCAAAAGCGGCATTACTGCCCATGGTATTGTATACGCCCAAACAAAAAAGATCATTATTAGTGCCTTCGTTCTTGAAACTTTTCCATCAAAAGGCCTTGTGATTGTTGTAAACCTATCGTAGGCTATGCAAGCGTTGGTCATGCCCTGTCCAATACCTACAAAAGTAGTTTCATTCTTTAGTAACTCACCCCGCATAAATTCCTATTTTAACTGACATACCTGAAAGGGTTCCCATCGTTGCAAAAATCCTACAGCCCAATATACCAAGAGCAAAACCCCCATGAAATGAGTTGTATATGAATATTGGGGCTTTTGACATCATCATGAAATCACAGAAAGCTAGATTGACTACAAACATATTTGATGCAGTCCTTAAGCTTTTTGCGCTAAAACAAAAACATACGTGGATCTACGTTAACACTAGAAACATGAATAAATAGGAAGATAATATAAACTAATTTATTTGGAAAGTTGGAAAGTGATGAACATTCTGAAGGAATCTTTCTCGATTTGTATTCACTTGGAGTGATGCATCTTTCCACATACTATTTATTAATAATTATAATGTGCGCCAACATCTCAACTTTATTCAGTCATAGAGTTTTTTTTAGAATTTTAAAAATATTTGCCAGTACTCACGTGGAAAATATCCATATGACTACTCCATTTCCGACTATACTCATAATAAAAAAGAAGATGTAAACCAGTCCCAGAAGTAAGTGTAATGATTTGTCAGGTTCAGGATATACCAACCAGTGCTCCTGGATATACTTCAATTCCTCAGGTGGTACGTTCCATCCTATCAGGTGGGGAGATTCCATCACCCTATAGCAAAATTATAGTGAAATACTTGTTAGAAATTTAAAAAATACCTAGGTACCCCATGTGTACTCTAATACCAAACTAACAAGGGCATAGGAAATGGATTCAAGTAGGTTGGCATTAGGATTTTCTTATAGGATTTGACTACTTACTACTTATAAAATAAGTATATTTTCGAGGACCGAAGAATTTCACGAACAATGCACAGAAATTGCTCGAGTATGGCTCAACAGGTTTACAAAATTTCAGAATTTTCCTGTCAAGCGTTTTTTAATTGCGCTCCAAAATTATAGGAAACGCACAAAACCAAGATTTTTAGGAAATATCACTCGCAAAAAAATGGCCTGGAATGCTTGATCGGAAACTTTCTAAAGTTCTAAGCTTTATGCATCTTACACCAAAACCTAAAATCTGCAACTTAAGAGAAGCACAGAAAAATGATCTTATATGGGATATTTATACTTACACAAAATACTTGAGCATACACAAGAATGACATAACGATGATGAGAGAACATTGTGTTTGTGAAAGCACATCAAAATATTAATAAATAATCACGTATGAAATATTTCATATAAATAAAAAAGGACTTACCTTGCTAAAGGGTGTGGAGGGAGGGTCCAGTTTTCGAATCTCATTTTGCCCTTTCATGACATAGAGAGAAACAAACTGGCCACTGATTTGAACTTGCAACTATTTTTTATAGGTTTAATTTAATAAAAAACCGCGACCTTAATCCTGACAGCTTTTGATTCTCTTAACCAGATTTATATCTGATTTATTTGTAGGCATATTATGGATAATCCAATATTATTTTTCCCTCGTCGAGACAATCCCAGATATAGAGCTAAACCCGAAGTTCATAGCAGTCCCTTACAAGGTGGATGTTTCTATTCTCTGAGAAGTATTAGAAATGGCATGAATTGGGTTGCCTAGGTACACTGCTATTACATCTTTGCTTTGGACTGACCCCCAAAATAACAAAAACTTACCTATATAAAAGTCACTGTTTTTGAGTTATTGAATTCTTTCTTATATTTAAAAAAACGAACCTTTTCATCTGAGGTCTTTAGCTGCATGGACAAATAAGGTTATACTTTGTTCATTTTTTCTATAAAATAGGTACTTCTAGATAGTTGCTTTATCATACGAGTACGAATCCAAGTAGTTAAAAGATATTAAGGAACCATGATCAAATAAGGACTATTTTGGTATTTATAACATTCTGATATTTTTTCCTTTGACCATCTGTGGTGAAACAAAAATGTACTCGGCTATAACTGCATTATATTGAATAAAAAGATTGCTCATTGAATACAGATTTCAGAAAGGCACCACACGTACTATTTGGAATAGAAAAAAGTGATAGCTGCTTATGTAAGTAACTGACACACACTACAATGTAATTTACTGGATTTATATTCAAGTTGCACTGATTACTCATCAGTGACATGCTAAATACTACAAAGCTACATTATTATTACCTGCTCCTGATATGATTTTATGAAAGTTGAAGAAACAATATAACAATATCAGAAGGTTATAAATCCCAAAACAGTCCTTATTTATCATGGTTCCTTAATATCTTTTAACTACATTGCATTTGTATATGACAAAGCTACTATCTAGAAGTATTTTATAGAAAAAATGAACAAAGTATTACCTTATTTGTACATGCAGCTAAAGACCACAGATAAAAAGGTTCGTTTTCTTAAGATTTAGGGAAAAATCGATATTTCAAAAACGGTGACACATTTATACAGGGTGTTTCAGAACTAAGGGATCAAACTTCTAGGGGTTATTCAGTGTAGAAAATATTTCAGTATAGGGACCCATACCCGGCCCTAAGACGCGTTAAAATTTAGAATTGCCTAAATAGGATTTAATGCATTTAATTTTTGCCTTTTGTACATGATATCATCACAACAATTGTTCAAAATGTCTTCCTACAACCTGAATACACCGACTTGACTAAAAATTTGATACTCGTTTTGAATTACTTCAAATGCTGCTGTAATTCGTTCGCTCTGTTTCTACATGTTCCCACAGGAAAAAATCTAGCGACGTTAAATCGGGGGACCTAGGAGGCCAAGGAACTGCTTCACCTCTGGCAATCCAACGGTGCCCAAACCGCTGAGCCAAATACCCACGTACTTGTAGGTACAGCAAAGTGAGCCGGCGCTCCATCATGCTGAAACCGCATTTACTGTTGAACGTTCAATGGAACATTTTCAAGAAGTTGTGGAAGAACTTCCACAAGAAACGCCGGTAAATGTTAACCGTTCCGATAGAAGATATGGCCCAATCAAATAATCATCAACAATGCCTGCCCATACGTTGACAGACCAACGTTGCTGATGTTTTCTAGGAAAAATTGCATGGGGATTTTCTTTGTCCCAAACGGGGCTATTCCTACTATCAAAAATACCGTCTCTTGTGAAAGAGGCTTCATGGGTCCATTAAACATAGCGTAAAAAATTTGGTTGCGCAGCGATTTGATGAAAAAGCCATTGACAAAATTGAACTAGGCTGAGTCAATCCTTGAACTTTCTGGAAGTGGTAAGGATAAAGTTGTGCTCGTGTAGCACCCGCCAGACGGAAGCGTTACTCGTATTCATATCCTCAGTAATGTGACGTGTGCTTCTTGATGGTTCGTCGGCAACTCGCTGAAGGACCTCTTCTTCAAATTCGACCGTTCTTACGGTTCGAGCAACACCAGCATCATGCATGTTGGATTTAAACATGCCTGTCTCGGAGAGCCGCCGATGAATAGCAATAAACTGTTTGTATCCCGGATGCTGTCGTTCGGGATAACGTTCTTGATACAACCGCGCTGCTGCTCGTGCATTGCAGCTTGTTGCTCCGTATGCCAAATACATATCCGCCAATTCTTGATTGGTAAAGTTTTGCAATAGCAACAATTAATTTTTGTTAAATTCTTGCACACTTCACAAATACGATAGCACGACTAAGACGATATGGAGTGCAGCTACAAAAAACAATCTCTGTTATCGTTTTTAAAGATAACAACACACAAGCGCCGGATCACTATACTCAAATGTTTTCTACTGTTACACTGAATAACCCCTACAAGTTTGATCCCATAGTTCTGAAACACCCTGTATAGGTAAGCCTTTGTTATTTGTCCAAAGCCTAAGTTTGTCGTGGTAATTATACATATATATATATATACTTATGTCGCCGCGCTGCTTGCTTCCAATATTTATAAATAACCCTGTGGCGCACGGCATATACCGCCGATAGGTGATCCGCCTGCCGAAAATATTATTACGATTATATAATGTTTTAAGGGCAAATGTATGGGAAAGTATGTGGTGTGTGAAGTAGGTCTGATAGGTACGTGAGACTAACATCAAAACATCTCAATTTTTTACCCTCAAGCATTTTTCCAAAAATAATTAGGATCCTCTGAAATGCCAAAAAACAAAGTATGGGCGATTTTTATTTATTTTTTGCCTGTAGGGCGACCGCGACTGAACCAATTTTCAAAATCTACAAAGCTTTCTTGTCTTGTAAAAATTTCATCAAAATCCGAGCAGTACCTTCCAAATTATAGAGGGGTAAAGGGTTAGCGGACAAACAGACCGACAGACAGATCGACTGACCGACAGACAGGCCGAGAGAAATAATGAGTACGTAATATATAAAAACCCGTTCTTTAAATAAGGTGCCTGAGGTGAATAAGGCCCACCAACTTTAAAGCTAAAAAAACTCAGGAATGATATCAAAAAAATTTAAAAAACGTAGTTCAGTAGAAAGCTTTTTTATTTAAGGTAAGAATAAAAGATAAATGGTAACACAGAGATCAGCATGGAAATAAGCATAACAATTTTCAAAAACTCTTGCCATGGGCCTTATTAAAACACCACAGTAATTTAAGGCCCGAAAATAAAATATTTCTTTCTTACGAAATTATCGACAAAACTCAAAGTTTTTGCCATTTTTCAGCAGCTAAAATCAACAAAAAACATTTTATTACCTAAATTTAAGAGATAATAACAATGGGCCCTATTAACCCCCGGGGGGTAGTAAGGCCACTTTTTAAGTTATTACAAGATTTATTATGTTAAGACTCAAATAACATATCCTAAATCAGACTTTGGATTGGGAACTTTGGAAGTAGATTCGTTTAGAAATATTGTACTTGAACGACTAAGAGATTCGATTGAATACAAATGAATAGTCCATCAATATAGATCCTAGTTTACCTAATGATAACGATACTTATTCATCACTTTTGACAATAAAACAATTCCTTATCATTTTTGGTTAACCCTACGCATTCTTCGTGGTACCATATGTGACATTTAACACACTGTTTCATATCCGACACACGATTTTCCTTGCAAGCACAGCAAAACCAAGATTCTTCTGACAGAACTTTGCTTCTTTTTCTTTCATCACTATGAGATCGTTGTTGGTTTCCATCTTTAGTTTTCTTTTCTGATATTTCTTTGGTTTTTCTTTTGTAATTTTTCAGTGTTGTTTTCTTTGTCTTCTCGTTTTCGTTCAATGCTTCTCGTTCTTCGAATAGGTCTTTCGTAATTCGTTGGCCTTTATAATTAATAGCTCTTCTCCTAGGCTTATTTTTTTTACATCATAGTTCGGACTTGGCAATAGCTCTTGAAAAGGAGACCTAAATTTCTTAGCTTTGAAGTTAGCTAAAGGTATGTTGTCATCAGAACTGAAACTATCGCTGTCTTCGATTTTTCCTTTAGAAGAATATATATTATCCATGGGCAATGATGATTTGTTTGATGCCAGTTTTGTTCTCTGCTGTACAATAGTCATTTCAGTATCTGTCTCGGATTCTGAACTATAAATCACATGACTTGTGATGTCTTGAAGTGGAAGGTTGTGGTGACTGCATCAGAGTGACAACGTTTCTACTAATGATCTGTATCTTCTTAGGTGTTGTTTCTACATTACTCAAGATCTCTCGGTAAAGTTTTTCTGGATGCGTTGCTATATCAAGTTCGTCATATAATTTCTTAACTTCTTCAAGGTGGTGACTTACGATTGGTCTGTTCACCTGTTGCGCCCTGGCTGGATTCATGAACTGTGCCTTTCGTTTTGAAATTTCTGGATGTCGCGTCAAAAACATATTTAGCCAGCAAGGCCAACGTTTTTGTTAAAATTATGTTTAAGTTCATATTTTTCGCAAAAGATGAATGCTTGTCTAGGAATAATCTTAGAAGTAAGCAGCATCCCAATGTTCGCGAATCTTATGATTCTGTTGACAAGATCGCGTTCTTGAGCTTCATTCATAATAGAACTGCCTCCTAGACGTCTTATTATAAGTACTTCCACTTTTTAAGTGGTTCCTCAGCGTACGTCTAGGTATGTTATATAGGTCTGTTGCACCACGCTGCGTCAACTGCCCTCGTTTTACAGATTCCATAGCAGAACGGACGTTTTCTTGCGTCCACTAAGCTCATCGTCGTGGAGGCATATCTGTCCAGTAGTAGAAAAAATACGTTGAGTTATATAAGAAAGGTAGGGTAATAAGGCCCATGACCTATTTTAGTGGGCCTTATTAGCCGCTTAGCATTATTTTAATAAAACCATCAATTCACCACAAAAAGAGCTCTTATTTTCAATTAAAACCATAGAAATTATATACTATTGCATCTGATGTTTAATAAAATTACGCTACGTTATCGCTTAATAACAAATGAATAAGAATACTCACATTTCTTCGTCACTAATAATTATAAATCGGAGTGGTGTAGCGCACTGTTGTCACAAATCGTTGGCTACTGGCAAAATATCGGCGGGTGTCGGCCGCATGCTAACGTCGCGGTGTACCTATCGGTCTTACGCATGTGCGAGTCCAGTTTGAACCGGGATAGAAGTATTTTAGCGCAAGCTTTTGAATGTGGGCCTTATTACCCCCCGGGCATTATTTGCTGCAGGCACTTTATACTGAAATGACCATATAGCAGCTATATAATAGGGAAGTAAAAAACCAACTCGTTGGTACGACACAGGTTTGAGAATTGAACATTCTTCAAACCATCCCAACTAGCAAAGTAGTGGTATAAGCTTTTGGTAAAAGAACCGTTCAGCCATAAAAGCTCTCTATTGTTGTTGTCTGAACACCAAAATGCTGGCTTAATGTTGTGTGGAATGCAAATTTGCTTTCTGCAACATATTTGCTCTAAAATGAGGTGTTTAAAATATTCTTATAGCATAGTTATACAACACCTTATAGGGCAAATTTTTAACTGTTGCATAAACGTTTATACAACTATTTTATACGGCATATTTGCAAGTTAGTCAAAATGTTTGTGCTGTGGCATCCATGGTAACGTTTATAAAACAAACCCGAGCCTTGTTGTTTTGCTGTGCAATTTACTACCTTAGCCAACAAATTGCTCCCAACGGAAGCACTTATCCAACTGTTGTTTAGTAACTGTTAAAGCTGTACATATTATGCTAAATATGTTGGTAAACAACTTCACCATAACCTAACTTTCTGCTGTCATATTTTTGTTAAAATGCCATAACCAATGTTTTAAGACAAACAACGCATGCATATTGGTTCAAAAGGTTTTATCAACTGTTCAAACAGAAAAAATAGATCTGGTACAAATTCTGGGTAAATTATTCGACTCTGTCGGTATTTTATTTCAGACATTTGTCAAATTGTTGTATAACACCTGCAGGCAACACCAAAATATTCTAATAACCTAAAGACAACATGGACGATGCCATGATTGTACACAACCACCCGCCATATTGGGCAAACATTTATTCCTCTATTTAATATTAAATAATTATGTTTCAGTTCGAAATTACAGATATAAAGTGATATAGTGTAATTGTGTCTAAATATAGGATTTGTGGAAGATTTAACGCAGATAAGTTCAGTTTTCCATCTTAAAAATCTAGACATACTTTTGATCATTGTCAAAATATGAATCAAATACGAAGCCAGTAGAAATTGGGTAAATAATTTGCACGATAATCACAACAAAATTTGCTGCGCGAGTAATTCAATAGCCCTATATCAAAGTGTAGAAGTTTATCATATACCTGTATATGAAATTCACAATGGCCGATATGTAAGTAAACAAGATGACTGTAATGTGTTAGTTATATATTCTTCACTTCGTCTATATAATACATATAGTTTGGTTGCAATAAAGTAGAATCATGTAACAGAATAGTTGTATAGTTGACAAAAACTGAATCTTGCACTGACGTAAATGTCCTATAGCGGCTGCAAGAGGCTTACACTTTTGTTTTATAACTGTTACCTGCAGCCCTTATACAACCTCTTAAATGACTGAAGTGTCCTATTAGGTGTGCCCATTCTGCTTGTATAGCTGTTCTAAGAGGGTTTTGCCAATGTTCTTACAGTATACAATGCTGTTTAAGGAATACTGTATAATCATTCTTGCAACTCTAATAGGAGTGATAATTGTTAGTTGGGATATCGAAGCTAGGTATAACAATACTTTGTTGTGTGCAGTAGAGCGAGCATATCTTGAAAGCTTAATTTAGAAAACATATAGATACATACATCACTTACAGACCAGAGTCAAGTACGTTGTCTCCGGATACATCCACTTGATAGGAAGCTGTTATTTTTGTTTTTGTACCGACCTAATCTAAAAGTTAAAATCACACACACAAAGCATCTCTCACACAATATGATGACACTGCAAATTTTAATCTACGGCAAATTTGCAGTCAACTGTCATTCGTCAGATTCGTCTTGTTGCATCCAGATATCAGTATTTTTCTCTTCTTCAGGCAAGTAGGAATGGCGAGAATATTCTTTGGTGAGTTCTCTTGTAAAATCTCAAAATGTCTTCCTAAATTACATAGTTAAAATGCATCACTCAAAGCTGTAGAGAAGAGCAAAGAATAATTTAAAACTGTTATAATAGTAATTGCAATGTGAATGTTTTCCTATTTATGAGCTTTACTACGATACCTGACACAACGACGGGAAAACAATTACAATCGCTAGGGTTACGATGAATTCTGCGTTTATGATACCTATTCTGGTGTCTTCACTCATTGAAATACTTTGTGTCGAATTCATTGAGGACATAATTTGTTACATCATCTCTTAATTTGCTGCAATTCATGAGAAGAAACTGGGTTATCTGTTAAGCGGAGAAAATAAGATAATAATAATAATAATATTTATTTGTTGTTCAATTACAATTTTTTTCAGGTGAATACGAAAATAACATACAAGTAAATATGAAATAGCCACAGAAAGCCTATGCGTGGTGAAATGTCTAATCAGTATTCAATCTATATCGGATATAATTGTCATCATAGGTACAATAGTCAATAGGGTATTGACAAATCTGCGAATGGTATATTAGGAAGGTGCAAAGCTTTACCTTCATTTGAGCGGATTTGCTTGGATATGTTAACAACCTTGACAGTTTGGAAAAAAGGTTTTAAATCTTTTTATATATTATTTGAGTTAATTAGATGACGTATGTCGAGGCAAGGTGTTTCGTCTATCCTCTTTTCCAGTTATTTTTTGAACTTCATAGACTTATGCTGTTATACGGTAACAGGCAAATTATAAAGCTTCGGTCCCAGGTATTGAAACAATCTCTGCTTTATGGCGGGTATTATAGTCGTACTCAATTTGACGTAGCTTTTGTTTTAGTTGGTGTTGCTTCATGATGGTATATAATGAAGTATAGTTTTCGAATTTCATGAACTGCATTTTCGAAATATAATTGCTCTGTTTGTTCTTGGTTTATTATACAGGGTGTATAATAATTACCACGACAAACTTAAGGAGAAGGTACGCTTTGGGCTGACTTCCCAAATAACAAAAACTTACCTATATAAAAGTGTCACCGTTTTTGAGATAATGAATTTTTTCATAAATTTTAAAAAACGAACCTTTTCATCTGTGGTCTTTAGCTGCATGTACAAATAAGGTTATACTTTGTTCATTTTTTCTATAAAATACTTCTATATAGTTGCTTTATCATAGCAATGTAGTTAAAAGATATTAAGGAAACATGAACAAATAAAGACTATTTTGGGATGTATAACCTTCTGATATTTTACTGGGCTATAACTGCATTATATTGAATAAAAAGATTGCTCATTGAATACAGATTTCAGAAAGGCACCACACGTACTATTTGGAATAGAAAAAAGTGATAGCTCCCTTTGTACGTGACTGACACACACTACAATGTAATTATTGGATTTAAATTCAAATTGCACTGGTTACCGATCAGTGACATGCTAAATAGTACAAAGCTACATTATTATGACCTGCTTCTGATATGATTTGATGAAGCCTACTGAAATTTGGACTCGAGTCAGTAACAATAATAATAATAATAATAATAATAATAATAATAATAATAATAATAATGCTTATATGTAAAATACTTACAATTATTCTCGAATAAAGCAAATAAACATAAAGTACCCGCAGAAGGCAGTTGCCTGTGCGCGGGTATTTACCCATACGAAACATTGTCTTTACAGCACATACTAATATATTTTGATATATTGTTAATTATTATTGAATAAATGATTATATCAAATAATTACACAATTTTATCATATAATATTTATCCGTTTAAATAAACTGAATTTAAAACCTTATAAATTTCTATAGTTCTAGAAGTAGGTAAGTTTTTGTTGAGAAAATCTGAATAGACATTAATGTATTACTTCATTCATCATATACGATTGTTCTTGTATCCACAGTTTTATACGTCTTTTTAGTAACTAGTGTGTTGTCTACATTCATCAGGCAGAAGATTATAGACTCGTGGGCCTAAGTAGGTATATATTCGAATGACCTTTGCCCAATTTGCTTATTCATCCTTCGGATCTGGAGTGATCGTATTTTACCCTTTGTCTCATGGTTATGTTCTGGTTTCAGCAGAGTTTGCTTGTATTTATAAATAAAGCAAGTTCATACAATATAATTGTCTGATACTAAAAACACAAGAATCGTGATATATACTTTTTCGGTTGGATAGAGAATGTAGACACCTAAAATAATCCATTTTTGTACAACGTCAAGTTTCTTTAATGCCGTAGGCAGTACTCTCCCCATCCAATAATGCCGTAGCTTAATAGTGATTGCATAATATATTGAAATCGATTGTTTCGTAGATAAGAAATCTTTATAGAACATGAACCTTGGTATTAGTAATCTTAATTTGTTTGTAAGATACTCAATCTGAGCATGCCATTTAAGGCGGTCATAATCATTATTCCTAAATATTTTAGACGCTCGATTTACCTGCGTACCATTATTATTTTTTATATCTAACGATAAGAAATTTCGAGCAGTTTCAAGACTATTATAGAAAGGTAAGAAAAATGTTTTTCTAAAATTTATTGTTAAAATTTTAGAGTGAAAAAATCTGATTATATTTTCAAATTCTAACTCTGCTGTTTTTAGAACTGATTCCCAAGATTTATCCTTGTAATAAATTACTGTGTCGTCTGCGAAACTCGTTATTTTGCCTCGTAAGTTCAAAGTGAATAGATCATTGACATATAATAAGAATAGGACATGTCCCAAAACAGTAACCATAATTAATAACACGTTGTTCGCTTACTTGATCTCCGATTTTCACACCTTGTTTTCTATCGGTTAAGTAGCTTTTCATAAGCGTGTAGGCATTACCTCTAAAGCCTAAGTTTCCCAATGTTTCAAACAGCAAACTATGATTCACGGTATCAAAGGCTTTGGCTAGATCAACAAAGATACACAGACAGCAATCATCTTTATCTAAGCAATTGTATATTTTATCTAAAATATCAACAATTGCTTCTTGTGTTGATCTAGCCTCTCTGAAGCCAAATTGATTGTTATATAATAATTTATATTTATCAATAAATGCATTGAATCTTATGTTTAAGACAGTTTCAAATATTTTAGTCAAACCCGATGATATTGATATCCGTCTATAATTCTCCATCTTCGTTCTTTGACCTGATTTGGAAATGGGCTTAATGACTGCAAATTTTAAGATATTTGGGAAAACACCCAAGTCCAAGAAACCATTGATGAGAAAACAAATACTCGTAGGACGTGTGATGAGTGTAGATATATGTGTTTCAAAACTCGAGCCGTTATACCATCCAGACCGGGTCCTTTATTTATTTTCAAATTGTTTATAATCTTAAGAATTCCGTTTTCTTCGGTCTTCGTTAAATATAAAGAATTCGCTATGCGAGTCTTATTGAATTTATATTTAATGTTTTGGTTTTACACCTTTTTGGCCAGTTTTTCTCTAACTTCATCCGTTATAGCTTGACTACAGTTCTAATTTATTTCACGAATTGAATCGTTTTGTGCATAGCCTTGTATTTTTCTTATACATTACCATAAATGAGAGGGTGAATTTATATTTTTTTCTAGCTGCTCTGTCATATATTTCTTTTTTGCTTCTTTTATTAGGCGAATTAATTTATTGTTATATTTAGTACTTATATTCGTTTTTGAAAATGATATTGTCTGGATTATCTTTGGCATTTTTGTATAGATTGGTCATAGTCTCAATAGATTTTATTAATCCATTAAGTACCCATAGGTGTTTATTTATTTTGTTTCTTTTTATTTTTACTACCGAGGTAGAACTATTTATTTTCTGTTTGAGGATAGAGACAAATAACTCAAACGCCTTGTCTAAGTTATTTTCTATATACTTATATAATTATATCCCACCAAGTTTCTTTTTCAACGTGTTCGTTTAGTTTTCTATAAGTTTTGTGTTGTCATTTAATTTATCTCTAGTTTTAACGCTATAGGATAGTGATCAGTAATTTTCGTTTGTAATATAACAGGTGTCATGTTTATTTTTTATACAAAAGAATTATTTTTTATCATGGTTCCTTAATATCTTTTAACTACATTGCATTTGTATATGATCTAGAAGTATTTTATAGGAAAAATGAACAAAGTATAACCTTATTTGTACATGCAGCTAAAGACAACGCATGAAAAGGTTAGTTTTTTTAAATTTAAGAAAAAATTCAATATCTCAAAAACGTTTATATATGTAAGTTTTTGTTATTTGGGAGATCAGTCCAAAGCCTACCTTCTCCTTAAGTTTGTCGTGGTACTTATTGAACACCCTGAATATTATCTCTGAAATGTACCTTTGTATTGTCTCAAGATTTTTCATATATGTTTCACACGCTGCTCCCCACACGATCATACCATACCTCAAATTGCTCTTAACGAGTGAATAATAGAGTACGTTCACTTGTACCCCGAGGTCTGTAATGCCGTCGCATTTTAGGCTTTCTAAATGAACCGCCCGGCTCTGTACACTTAGAACTGGCTGGTATGACGTTCATTCAGTCCTAGAGAAGGAAAACTCCCTCAGTTCTACCGGTCTTAGCATAAAAATCAACGTATGTCTTATTTTCTTTATATTTATTAAGGATTGAAATGTGTTCTAATTTATTTTTTTAAAGAACGACCTGACATTCAAGTTAACCGAGAGACTTTATCTAGGCGATAAAATTGTATTCATAGGGCAACCCCAAGCTTCAAACGTTAAGTGGGCCGAATAGTCACCCCACTGACTGTGCAACTGCAAGCATCTGGTGCCCTATACGTCAAAACACCTCGAGGTATGCGTGGTAGGGTGGAGTCAACGCACCGACAGCCAATAGGGGAGGCTTGCTGTAAGTCACAAAAGGGATTAGTGCCATATACAAAGGGTATCTGGGCTGTGGCAAGTATGCTGCCATGAGGTCTCCGCACTTATTCATAAATCAATGTCAGTATCTTCGGGAGAATTATGGAAGTGGGTAAAGAATAACCGCGGAGTGATTTACGAGTTCGATTAAAGATGATTAGTGCGTCGGCTGTATGTAATGGCCCAACAAATGGAATTTTGAGGATGGAGCAAATGCAGTTGAGAGAGATGCATAGTCAACAAACTTCGCCTTCGTCCAGTAAGTTGGAAAATTGAATCTTGGCAACTTTCTTTATATGTTTATTTCACGCATGTACCTTTCTCTGTTATTATTAGAGGAACATATCCGAGTGAACCTACCTAAGAGCTTGTCATTTAAAAAAGATGCATAGACATATGCTTACTTGCAAATATCTAGTGGGTCAGAACTAAAATTCTACGACCTAGCTACGCGGGTTTTTTCTCAGATCGGGCTCAAATTTTTTTTCTGAAGAATACGTATGGAGGGATGAGGCTGTGTTTGAAGGTTCGGCAAAAACGTGTGAATTTTAACGTTTTAGCAACTTTTCCATTTTCTGGCTACTCCTGTCGTTGAAAAGCATTTAGGCCTCATAATATATGACTATTTCGAAATAAGATTGCCCAAGCAGTGAAAACTTATCTCCAAATTCCGATATAATAATTCTTTCAGCAAATATTTCAGTCAAAACCAGGGGTTTACTACTTGATTTTCACGCTACTTGACTAGACTTGATTCAAAATCAAGTCAAGTATTAGATATTAGCAATTGGAATCAAATCAAGTGGATTTTACGTCAAGTACTTGAAAATTCAAGTAGTGTTGATAATACTTCCTAATAATAAATACGAGTAGATTACAAATACACAATGGTAGGACTTTCTGACAAGTTTCAGAGAAAGCAATACATATTGAACAAAATATTTTGTTCATTGTATAATAAATAGAATAAAAAGCTGGTTCAAAAAATGAAAAATTCTGAATTTGCTTTTCATTCGCTAACAACGGATTCTGATGGCTTTATCGCTTGATATGTTGCGGGGCTACGCAATGGTCACTTCAGCCTTAGAAAAGTCCCTTCCCTACCGCTGATGTTGCAGTTGTCGAAAAAAATCTCTTGTCATTAATAAGACTAGATTTGGCAATACAAAATACGGTGCATCGGCTGTTCAAATAAATATCACTGAAAGCCTTTAGTAGAACAAAAATACAATTTGCCATCGAATATCAGGTAGGTTTTGATACGGTGTCCTTGCATGTAAACTTCTGCCTGCGCGGCTGCTATAAGGATCCCACAGATCCCTCCTCTGGACAGCATCGAGCATAAATAATGTAGTCGGGGCGGCAGCACCCCAAACGTGTGAGCAATACTCAAGGCTGGGCTTTATTTGGGCCTTGTAGGAGAGAGGTACTTTTTAGCTCTAAACAAATAGCCTAGCTTTTTCCCAGCAGCTGCTGCTATTGACGAGATGTGTTCGTGCCAGATCAAGTCCTCGGTGGACTCCGAAATGAACGGCTCTTCGGCAGAACTCCGCCATCCATCGAAACCAAATGAGCGTTAAGAAAATTTTTGTTTGTAAAGGTGGTTTGGAGGCATTAAACTGTATAAGATTGTTGGGTCCTCAAGCAGATATCCTCCAGGTATCTCGTCAGAGAGGAAGTCGCCGCTAGTCTTCTTTTTTCCAGCTCACCGGCAGAGATCGACTTGTCGCTCTGAATTCCTACATTTAGAGTGCTGTCATCAACAAAGCTGTGGATTGGGTTGATCTTACTGGAAAGGAGGTCGCTGATATGTACAAGGATCAGTATTGGAGCCAAGATTGATCTTGACAAGCACTTCCGCCTTAACCTTTGAGTCGGTTACAATCGTTCCTCTCTGACAAGTAACTGTAAGAAAGCTACTATGTGAGAAATTCCTCTCAATCTGCTTGCCCAACACCAAGAAAGACCGATTGCCATTGCGCTGCGACATTACTCTGTGCTTTTTGTATCGTCTAGACTTGGGCATTGCGAACCGCTTCGTTATATTTGTTTCTGGACTCGGCGTCGGCTTGTCTGTTCTCTCCAATGGGGTTTTGTAAGAAGGTTCTGTGAGCCTTAATATTCTGCTGGCGAGCAGCGTCACACGATTTGTTAAACCAGCCGTTGGACCCTGGTCTAGGCACTTTCGCTGTGTGAGGGATGTATTCTTCCGACGTGGATAATTTCGGTTATCGAAGAACAGACAGCCGACGCATCCGCGTCAGTGAAACAGACATCTTTCCAAGGAAAGCTAGAGAAGAAATCTCTGAGCGCCTCCCAGTCGGCATGTCCGTAATGCCAAATTTTGCGGCCTGGGAGAGTTGCTGCTGCCACAGTGGGTGCTGGCCGAAGCCTAACCTCCACGACGCCCTGGTCTGAGTTACCCAAGGGAGACGGCAGTGGTGTAAGGGACAAGATGCGTGGTCAAAAAGAGATCCTGCAGGCTACTAGTGTGTGATGAAACGTGGGTGAAACAGTAGGGCTCGTCACCAGCTGGGTCAGCCTTGGGTAATACCAAACTGCACGACCTGCTGCAACGGTTTTACTTAAGCTCAACCCAAAGCTCATCATGGGCATTGAAATCGCCGAGAAGAACCAGCTCTGAAGCGGGATGATTGATGTTCAGGCGGTCGATCTTGACAGCGAGGTATACAAGTAGGTCATCCCAGTTGTGACTCGAGGGAGAGCGATAAAGGCAGTAAATAAATTTGGGGGATGTTTTGGAGTTGAGGCGAAGCTACAGAATGTCATTCAGGTCTGATTCCAAGCAAACATCTCTGGAGCAGGAAAGACTGCTGCGGACAAGAGCCATAACTCCCCGTTCTTTCTGAGATTGGAGTGCATCTCGTTATTTGGGAAGCTAAGATGGTTAATCGGTGCAGACTCTGCGATTTTGTCTCCGCCAAGATAAGCATGGCGGGACGATTGGATTGCAGGTAGTGATGAACAGCATCAATGTTGCTGTTAATCCCGCAGATGTTCGTGAAACAAATTTTAACACCCATGTTGTTCCTCGAGTCCACCCTCCATGGACATTCCGAGAGTGAAGTCAGTTTATGTCCAGAATTCTTAGTACGGAGGGATCCATCATCATTAATTTCTTTGTTGGGGAATATAACCGACAACCGACGGCGTAGCTTAGGTGTGGAAACATGCGGACATTTATAAGATGCTCTGGAAAAAGCTAGCGTGAGGTACCGCCTCGGTCGACTGGTCCTTGTCTACCACCTTCTTTTTGCGTTTCAATGATGTTAAATAGTTACTGTTACTGAGATATTCCTTAACACGTGTACATTCACTTGAACAGGAAGAAGTATACTGAATACAACAACTTCCGGAACAGGCATTTGCTACCGCCCCGATCAGTAGGGGTAAAATGTAACAATGCGATGCTTTCGAAATTTTTTTCTGGTTTATTTGGCTGACAATTCGAATGCCTGAATATTTTTTTCGTACAGAATCTGGACAATCCTGATCGCCTGTATAAGTGAAATTTTGTACTGGGGCATTTAAATTGGTCGGATAGGCCATTGGATCCAATTTTCGATAATTTTACTAATTTACATGGCATAAATCTCTGCGCCACTGATGAGACTAAATAAGGTTAATACATAAATACATATATAGTGTTCAATGTCAAACTTCACTAACTTCGGCGTATTTTCAACAGGTTGAAGTTCTTTACATAAACACCTCAAATTATAACTCCAACGCCCTGTATGTTTATAGGAAGTTTTCGTGTTCCTTCTTAATGTATGCCCTATTTACACGTTTTACTGAATATTTGCAAATCTTGTTTTGCAGTTTGATATCTCTGTAGTTAAGAAAAATAATTCCAAATGCATCCTTCTCATCAGTATAAACATTAATTAAAAAAATAGTACATGATAAAGAAAAGTTGACTGCATGTTTTTGTCATCTGAACTTTCGGAATCGTATATTCTGAAGTGGGCATGCTTACTTTACCTCTGAATAACCATGACCAGCAGACAATGCTGTTTTGTGCTTTGTAGCAACTCATCACTACGGCATAGGTCTCAGGTCTAGTCTTGGAGGCAGACCATTCGTATGTGGCGATCGTCAGGTATCCCACGTACATGCGCACATGGTATATTCTTCTGAGTGTCAGAAAATATTTTAGTTGCTCAAGAACGTGACCCAAACAATTTTTGTCTAGTATTCTTTCATTCCTTCAAACATTACTTAATCCACACCATTATCTTTAAATACACATTAATTTCAAAATTTCCTCAATAAAATAAGTAGTGTGGTCAGGACCAGTTGCAATACGATCATTTCCTTTTGTCAGCAAGACTTTAGCATGCAACTCTTGCAGTTGAAACACCTCATTGCTTTGTGACAATTGCATGCAATCGCTTGCAAGAGGACTCTGTTTCCTCGATTCAAACGAGCAAGGTTAGCCAACCTAAGCGATTGACATACAGGTATTTCGTGTCACATTCCTGGTTTTTTACCCTCAGAACACATATCATATCCAAAAACTTTTTTAATCGCCGACCATCCGACATCAAAACGAAATGAAAAGTATATCTTAACAACTAAATACAATTAACATACCATACAAACCACCGAACCGGCCTAGGAACATTTCCATGCATTGGTAACTTATAAGTTGCTAACTATTGCACCACAATTGCAGACAAACTTGCATGAAAAATGCAACTGATTGATTTTCATGAAAGACCCCGGCAGTTGCAAAAATAGAACAGGAGTAGTCAGCTCCTTTGTTAATGCGCATGCGTCTAATCAACTTTTATTTTGTGCTTGCTAACTAGGTATTAGAAAATATCTAGATGCCAGTTAGCCCACCTAGGATACTAAGCGTTTGAGAAATAACAACAATAAAGAGCTGGGCTAGTATGAAAAACATGATAGTGTTTTTCATATTTATCGTTTTTTTTTTGGTTTGTCAATTTTTTTACTGTCCATGAACTGATATTCAAGTGGTCACTGGTGTTGTGTGGCAGTTTGAGTTTGCGTTGCGTTTGCGCAATACAATAAATGGAAGCTAGGCACCCAAACAAATCAAATACAGATTCCGCTCCAAATTGAAGCTTTCTCATCAATATTTCCTTCAACAGGTAGGATTCTAGACATACCGTGCAATGTGTGCGGGGACTTCTCGTCTGGAAAGCACTACAATATATTCGCGTGCGATGGATGTGCAGGTTTCTTCAAACGGAGCATCCGAAGAAACCGGAAGTACGTTTGTAAGGCGAAAGAAGAAGGGTCTTGCATCATTGACAAAACGCATCGTAATCAGTGCAGAGCTTGTAGATTGGCCAAGTGTCAAGAAGCGGGAATGAATAAAGATGGTGAGGAGTGTTCATAGAATGATAAAAAGTGTAATTATGAAATATTTCTGTATAAAGAAATAGCGTTGAGTAGGTTGACTGTAGAGTAGAATAAATATCAGTACAAAATTGCAGTCAAGTAGGAAGTAGGTTGACTGCACGTTCCATGCAACGCTGCTATCAGTTCATACATTATTTTGCCTAACAAAACGATATATACCTACCCCCACCCCCTACAATCTTCAACCTTTGGTTGTGAACACCTACAAAAAATTCTGTGAAAATCATCACAAGCCTCTGAAACGTCAAAAAAAACTAAGTCTAAACAACCTTTCTTTTTTCCATGTTTTTGCCCCAGCTTAGTAGTAACCTTGGGTAAAAATTTCATACAAATCCGAGCAGTACTTTCCAAGTTTGAGGCGGTTCAAAGATTAGCGAACAGGCAGACAGACCGACGGAAATGAGGGACACGATTCTTCGTGTGTTCATGTCATATCCAATAACATCTCATTTTTGAAAGTATTCACCAGTAGGCGTGGTATTATTTGCTTGAGGAAAAGGTACTAAAAATAGATGAATATCTTCATAACACAATCCATATTCACAGAAGACTGGTGAACTTCTATTCGTTATTTCATACCTGAATAATTACATCCCTAATGCTGTCACCCTATAGTACTATTTATATTCAATGAATTATATTGGCCTGGCAGTTGCAATTGAGACCTTGATGCTAAAATATAGTATTTACAAGTATACATCAATTTCATCACCCCGAATTTTAGATTGATGATGTGACCTGTTCAAAAAATAAGTAGGCAGGTCTTTCTGAAAAGCACTGAATATTCTTTCCAGTGATTTATTTCTGTGTGCTACAGGTTATTTCTTTTATTTCAGCTGTGCAACATGAAAGAGGCCCTAGAACATCAACTTTACGTCGTCAACAGATGTCAAATTTCTTTGAAACGCAAGATTCGATGTTCATCTCTTCTGTTGGTGGAGCACTGAATCTGGCAGTTCCCAAGTCTGCGTCTCCACTGTCCAGCGTAACAATGTCGCCACCTGTCGATAGTGTTTTCTCTCACACTATCCAACATGGAATTCTTGCGGGAGCTTATAGCGCATTCATGGCGTCGCCCAGAGTAAGTGAAGTCATGTCTTTATTAACTTTTAAAATTATTATTTGCAGGTTGTCACTTACTTATTAAACATTATTAGTGGCCTCGAAACCAAATTTTTTTGTAAATGTTGTTCTATATTTGTTTGCGTTTTTTGAAATGGATGTGATTTGGCTGTAAACAATGTAGTTTTATTAAAAAGATAACGAGCGAAACTGGCCGCTTTTTTGACAGCTTTTATTTAATTTGATGTTTGTAGGTGTGGGACAAATCTTGAAACTGAATTTAACCGAGATGAAATTTTGTACACCCGATTAGTTTTCGCAATAATATAAAATGAATTAACTGCCGCCATTTTGAATCCAATATGACGGATTCTACAAAATGGCGATTCATCATTTTCATGGTATGATATCGATGAAGAAAACATAATAAGCAAAGTGACCCATTCGTAACCCAATATAGCGACCACCATTAAATGGCGATTATTGATTTCTAATGTCACCGTTATGATATGGGTATCAAATAAAAGGGCTTAATGGGAGAAATACAATTTGCAAATAACGTTATTCTAAAATAGATATGGTAGTCGCCGCAAAATATCGAATAAAGAATAAGAAGTTTTATAGTGTCCCATTAGTGAAACATGTCAAAATTGTATGGAAGTTACCAAACTAGTTATTTGGCATAAATACTAAAACGTAAAAAATACATTTTTGAAAACATGATCTTATTTAGCTGTACTTAAAAATTTTTTGGCGGCCTAATGGAACCCGGATGTAACACGCTTTTATTTGAAAACTCGATATGAATTAGAACTATTTTCAAATTTTAATTCACTTTATTAACAGTTAAATCAAAGCTTGTTTTTGAAAATATAGGTATTTTTTACTCTATTCATTATATTTTGAACCACCACGACTGCCTAAGGCCTAAACACCCGTGTGTACCGCGAGACTATAGGGGATACAGGGGAAAGGGAAGGGATTTGGAAAGGGGATGGATTTACGATAATATAAATATTCTCAATACCCATGTCGAACGCAACGAAAATAGAAGTTAAACCTATCGTGAACTGACCGTTTACTCATCGCAGCTCGTAATTGTGATCGCAATCTTGTCTTCTTGCATTGATATTGATATGGGAGTTCCCCAACGATGTATATTAGGGCCTCTTTTATTTATACTGTATATAAATGATCTGGGTCAACTGTTCAATGGCCAAATAAATTTTACATTGTATGCAGATGGATGCCTCAATTATAGTTTCAGATCCTCACGATAATGTATTGGTCACTAAATTTAATGACATTTTGGAGCATCTTGAAAAATGGTTTGAACAAAATTAATTATTTTTAAACTCAGAGAAAACTGCTGTAGTAAGATTTCACAATGTACAGAAGAAGTTAGATGACATGACGACACTATATTTTTTGGAGTATATTTGGATGAATGGTTAAATTTTAAAGCACATTGCAAGTATATTTAAATTTACGAACAGTTCTGAATGAAAATCAACTTATCAGTCTATATTATGCACAGGTTGAATCGAGGCTGAAGTACGGCCTTTGCTTCTGGGATATATCAAGTGCAATGATTGATATATTTATATGCCAGAAAGGAGTGATCAGGAGCATTGCTAAAGTAAATAGTACGCATAGTTGCAGGGAACTGTTTAAAAGATAGAGAATACTTACTATTTGAAAAATAAAGATGTTCATGGACTAAATAAAAGACAATGAAACCAATTATATGTATCTTTTGTGAAACACAATGTATCCAGAAAGTCGCCAAGGTATTTAGGGCCAAAAAAATTCACCAGTTTGCCAGTCGTAGATATAATAAATGCCAAAGATACGAGATTTTTTAAAATAAAACAGTTTCTTATAAAAAAATGCTGTTACGCCGTCTCGGAATATTGTGTTTTGTGAGAATTCAATTGTTTGTAGACTATTTGTTTATGTTTGTTTGTTTTTATATTTTAAATTTTGTATTCATTTTGACGAGTTCTATACATTGTATGTGTCAGAAAGAACAATAAACTATTTGATTTGAGATGATCGGTAGGGAGGGGTGAAATTTCTAGATCGCACCCTTGGGGGGGAATCTGTTTGACTGACTTGATCCATGTAAGTCCTTTTGCTTGTTGTTATCTTTTTTCTAAGAGAAACTAACTAATTTGACCCACAATCTTTTATGTATTTTTCTCTTCTAGCTTCCGATCCCTGTGCCCACAATGTTCACCTCACATTTACTCAGTCCTGCCGTGATATGTGAGTCAGCTGCCCGTCTTCTGTTCATGAATGTCCAATGGATTAGGAGCATCGGCCACTTTACGTCTCTACCACTCCAAGACCAACTGTTACTGTTGGAAGAAACTTGGAGGGAGCTTTTTATACTAGGTGCCGCACAGTTTCTTCCTATCAGTGATTTGACCCCTTTAGTATACTCTTGCGGAGCTCTAGATAGGACGTCAGAGAAATCTGCTTTTCTTCATAAGACTCAGCAATTCGAAGAGGTGCTTAAAAGCGTGAGGCAGTTTCAGTTAGAAAACCAAGAGTACACTTGTTTGCGAGCTATAGCACTTTTCAAGACGTCATTTGAAAAAGGAAATTCTGGTGATACCTCACCAAGTCAGGCTCTTGGAACTCTGACAGATCGTGATAGAATTGCTAGCATACAAGATGATACTCAATTAGCACTCAATAAATATATTAGTACTGTTTATCCTACGCAGCCTTTACGTTTTGGAAAATTGTTGCTTTTATTGCCAACATTGAAAACAGTTAGCGGTGAGACAATAGAAGATCTTTTTTTTAGGAAAACTATAGCAAATATACCTATTGTAAGAATAATTTGTGATATGTACAAATCACAACAGACTTCTAGCTTATAGTACTTTTGTAATGTTCTTCAAGGCGCTAAACCTTTTTTTTCAATAGTGGTACATGCACATGCAGACTCGGCATACGTTGATCCAAAATTCATGCGCAGTACATACAATAAGTACATTTAAATAGGCCACAAGGTTTTATCAGACTGCCTTTGTTGCCTACTTTATTTTTCTAATCAGCTGACTTATACGCTATGGCATCATCAGAAGTGCCTTCTCAATCTGAATTTTAAGCAATATTGATGTTCACCTATTAAGGGAACATGCTATTTAGTACTTAATTTCATCTGTGATATAACTAAAATCATTATAGTTTACTACATGATTTTGTAAGCCGTATATCTATTATAAATGTCAAAAATTGTATATAATGTACACATATTTTAATAAAGATTTAATGGTATAATCTGATGGCTTTTATTCAGATTCCCACATTGGGCAACACAACAGAATTAGATTAGAATTACATGATCAAACTAACTTACCTGTAAGTGATGTTCGATCTTAATTATGTGAAGTCCTCGTCGAAGTGAATATTTAGAATACATATCGTAGTAAAAGAAATATATCTTAACAACTTCCCAGCCTGCCTTGTTCAAACTTACAGTTCCGTTCCATGGTCATCACAAACCAGATGAAATTCGCTGTCACAAGCGGTCGTTGGGTACTACTACGAGGGTACTATGATATGTACTCCAGATATTTACTTCGACGAGGACGGAACATAATATCCGAATATTCTTAAGGCTACGCTTTCACGGAGCGTGGTACGCTAACGTGGTTCCGTGAGTTTGTCTGTGACGTCATGAAGAGACGAGCCCACGACCGCTCATTCAACGTATAAATCACGTTTGATTTTCAGGTGTGGTCACGCCAGTCGAAAGCAACACATCTGCTTTTTTTTATACCGAAGAAATTTTGTTAGTCCGATTTTTGACTTGCCGAAGGTTAGTAGAACTGGGCCTTATATCGAGTGAGAAGGTTATGCGTGAAAAGTACTTCTTATCCCTAAACAGATTGCCTAGCTTTTTCTCAAGTCCTCGGTGATCTGGACTCCGACAAGCCGAAGTGAACTGTACAATATTGTTGCATCCCCAAGCGGGGATAACCCCCAGGTATCTCGTCAGAGAGTAAGTTGTCGCTAGTCTTCTTTTTCCCAGCTCAGCGGCAGAGATCACCTTGTCACTCTGAATTACTGCATCTAGAGTGCTGTCATCAGCAAAGCTGTGGATTGGGTTGATCATACAGGAAAGCAGGTCGTTGATATATAAGAGGAACAGTGTCGGAGCCAAGACCGATCCCTGGGGAACACCCGCGCTGACGTTGTGGGATGAAGAGGAGAACCCATCAATTACGACGGATATCTTGCGACCAGAAAGAAAGTCAGCCACCCATGCAAAACTTTTCTGGGAGGCCATACGATGAAAGTTTGCATACGATGGCAGCGTGCCACTGTTGATCGAACGCGTAAGCTAGGAGGTCCCCTGTGGATCGCTGGTTCCGGAAACCATACTGCCTGTTGCTAATCAAGCCGTGACGTTCGAGGTAGTCCAGAAGCTCGCGATTTATGCATCTCTCCATCACCTTACTTATAACAGAGCTATAGGCCTGTAGTTGTAAGGGCCGGTCTTAGATCCTCCTTTTTGTGATGGGCTGGACATGAGCAAATTTACAATTTTTTGTGAAGGCCCGTGCCAGAAACTGTGTTGATGTCGAGCGACGAGAGCAACCGTCGTACGCCTAAATACTTCCCGCATAGTGTTGGGAACCCTTTGAATCGACGGCATTTGGGTGTTGAAGTTACATTCTGACAAGTAAGTGGTGAAAGGCTACTGTGTGAGAAGTGCCATTCGATCCGGTTGACCAGCGTCCAAAAAGTCCGACTGCCATTGCGCTGCGACATTACCATGTGTCCAAGTTGTATATCGTGCTGGTCTTTGGCATTGCGAACCGCTCCAATATATTTGCTTCTGGACTCGATGTCGGCTTGTCTGTTCTCTATAGTGGGGTTTTGTAGGAAGGTTCTGCGTGCCTTGATATTCTGCTGGCAAGCAGTGTCACACGATTGGTTGAACCAGCGGATGGGCCCTGGCTTAATCACTTTTACTGCATGAGAAATGTATTCCTCCATCCCAACATAGATAATTCGGTTATCGATGAACAGACAGGCGACGTATGAGGAGGAGAAGTCTCTGAGCCCCTCCCAGTCGGCATGTCCGTCATGCCAAATTTTGAGGCCTGGCGAGTTTCTCCTGCCACAGCGGAGTCTGACCGAAACCTAACCTCCACAGCACCGTAGTCTGAGTTGCCCAGGGGGTACAGGACAGCAGTGCTGTAGGGGACAGGCTGAGTGGTCAGAAAGAGATCCAGCAGGCTACTGGCATGTGACGAGACGCGGGGGGAAAAGTAAGGCTCGTCACCAGCTGGGTCAGCCCCTGAGTAAGAGCGAACGTTTCAACTGCACGACCTGCTGCATGGGTCTTGTTTGAGCCCAACCAAAGCTCATTATGGGCATTGAAATCACCGAGGAGAACTACCTCTGAAGAGGAATGATTGATGTTCTGGAAGTCTATCTTGACGGCTAGATATTCAAGTAACATAAGTCATCCCAGTTTTGGTCCAAGGAAGAGCGATAAAGGCAGCAAATATATTTGGGGGATGTTTTGGAGTTGAGATGAAGCCACAGAATTTGTTTCCGATCTTGTTTCCCAAAAAATCGCATTCATCCATTTTTTGTTTGTCCACGTGACTCTCAAAGATTTCGATAATATATACCATCAAAATCTGAACTAAAAAAAGAACTAATTTCAAACAAAATGGTAGATTAAGAGAGAGCCCTAGACGCCCAAGTCTGCTATTTTTTTTTTCAAGAAAATGGTGTACCTTGCTGTGTCTTTGTCTAAAAAATTACCTTGTTAGACCTGAATCGTGAGATGTATCCTACCCGTCGTTCTACAGTTATCACAAGGGTGTTTGCTCTCAAAAGCACTGCTTGATTACTTGCTCTCTCTTCAATTTTTAATCAGCGCTAGCTTCCCTCCCTTCGAGGCGAAAATCTTCCTAAACATGAATGGTGCGACCACCGCTTTTCACTCCACGCTAGACAGACGTAGCTTAAAGTTGAACTTCTGTTTGGACACAATTTATTGATTCATAGTAATACCTGAAAATTATAGATGTTCAAGACACTATAACAACCCATATTTTTCTCAAAGTTTGGATATAATTAATCCAAGAACAACTTTGTACCGTTTCCAAAATTTTATCCAAATCAATGCAATGGTTACCGAGATTGCACTGCAACTGGGAAGCAAGCTAATAGAGATAAAAAATTATGATTCTTGAGATGTGGACATAAAACTCCATTTATATCCAGATATAATGGCCTGTAAACCTAAGAGATATTGTAAAAATTCTAATTATAAAGTTAACAAACATTATACAAGAATGTAGAGACACTACAATATCATCAACTACAACTCCGCAGGGTGGAGGCGGCGATATTTTGTCGAGATCGATACAGTGGTGGTTGAAAATATGCAGTAACAAAACAATCACAAATAAACCAACAGGAATGAGTAACATGGTATCAACACTTTGTCAATCAAAATTCGAGTTATACTAATATTCTAAACACTTACTGATTTTAAACCACTGACGTATGTAGAATAAAGTTCTGGGGGGGAACAGCTCGGTCACATTTTACTCATTTCTACCCAGTACTTTTTCTCATTTTTTTCCTGGAAAACTCATTTCTCTCAAGCCGCTCCTAGATACTCAATAAATCGAATGATCGATAAATAAATGATGAATGGCCATCTCTCTCCCTCTTCCTCTTTCTCTCTCTGTCTCTCTGTCTCTCTATTTCTATTTATGATGAAGGCATTTGTTTTCAGAAGAGCTGCTTAGATATACACCCCCCGCTCTTTAGTTACTTGTCGGCACTCGCTTCAGAAGCGATGTTTAAGCTAATTCAACCTAACCGCCCCAAAAATAATGCAACTCATATGTTACTCATCATTTTTTGACCAAAAATAGTCATCTTTTACTAATTCTTCACTCCAATAAAACACCTTGAGGTCACAAATACCATAAAAGGTATGTATGTTGAAAATGCTTAAAAAAGTCGTTGTTTCTAATCTAATTGATAAACAAATGTTCCCAACAAAGAATGAGAAAATGTGTTTTTTGGGATCCAATCATAGGTGTTGTCAGGAACGAAGAAACTCTTCAAATAATATTTTTACGTATTTATGAGACCTACAGAAGGAGACACGTAAAAAGATCAGACTAATAGTAAAAAAGTTATGGCCGGGTTATGTCTCTTGTTGCTGATTCGACGATAATTTCACGCAGCTACTTGAAATTCTTCAAATCCGTGGGCTCCATACTTAAATAACTAAATAACCACAACAAAAATGGAGTCGATTGATCAAGTAGTTTTTCAGATAATTGTTATTTTTATGCGATAAACGAAGGGGATAAACAATTAGAAATTCTCAAAAACTACTTGACCAATCGACTCCAAGTTTCTTGTCGATACTTAGAAGTACGAAGCCTACGAATTTTTAGAATTTCAAGTATCTGCGTCAATCTATCGTCGCATTACCAATAAGTGCTAACCTGCATCTTTCCTCGGTTTTCGGCCATAACTTTTTTACTATTAGTCGGATCTTTTTACGTGTGGTCTTATTCTGTGGGTCTCATAAATACCTAAAAATCTTATTCGAAGTGTTTTTTCGTTTACACTTTCGAAACAAACACACATTTTTTCATTCTTTGTGACATTCGACTGAATACACAGTTTTCCCAAAAAAATTGGAGTGCACATTTTATGTGGTCATGATTTGAATACCCCCTTGAACAACTTGCATGAATAAAATCAGACTTTACAATTATTTCGCAAACCAGGGGTATTTTCGTCTAACAATATTGCTGTTTCATACACCAGGAAAAACGTTGTAGGCTGTGGAGCTCTGGGAGGGGGACCTGAGCCCCAAACTGTTTGCCCCCCCCCCACATACCCTCCGAATACGCTCTTGTTTTAAATGATGGATGTCGTACGAATAAAATTTAGCTAGTTGTGATGCTACTACTTCAATGTGATCTTCATACCATGTCGGAACACCAACTAAAAAATGCAGGTGCCATCAATTTGTCAACGGCCATTTAACGGTGAGATGAACATCTATTACCTAAAGTCAATACCAAAATACAGACCTTCAGCATCAAAACTACCGCTTTCTGTTTAGCTTTTCGCTAACAATACCTCATTAGAAGTGGCTTTTCGAGGATTACTTACCTGCATCCCTGCATTTTTGATCTTTTACACGAAATCTGCGTTTAGGATTTCTTTTTGTTACAGAGATGCGGTTTTATATTTTCAGCTACCGGATATTTATTTGT